TAACCTACGGTATAACTTCATTTAAAATAATCAATTATCATGTTTTTTCCAACCATCAAATCTGTTAAATTTATACGTTTGGAAACTTTCTATTTGCTTTTACATCTGTGTATAGTGTCAACAAATACTGACTGTCCAGAAAAATAGACAAGTTAAAGGAACACGTCGAAAAAATAATTTTATTTTAGTAAATATTGCATTTTATGAGATTTATATTAGTAGATCCTCAACACTGGACATGAAAACATTTTTAAAAAATTATGGATAAGTAATAAATAAAAGTTAAACTAACACTAAGAAAACCGCTGTAGGGGGAGGTATTGTTATCTGTAAAGGATAAGATGGGCTAAGAGAGCTCACAACTATTTCTGTATATCTTTCAACCCTTATTTCTCCTTAAGTTATCAATAAATTTTTTCATTCATTATATTTAACCATATTTTACATCACTTTCCAATCTGAAACGGTGAATTATTTCAAATAAAAAATAAATAAATAAAGATACTTTAGAGAAAGCAATCAAGCAATTTTGAGAATTAGGCATTTTAACTCTGTTAGAGAACATTAATGAGAATAAGACCTACATTATGTATAAAACCGCTTAATTTTACACTGATATTATGAATTTAATAAAATCATTAGAACCGATAATAAGTTTAAATGACCAATGATCAAGTAAGGTACTAATTTTTAATCCTGCTAATCATCAGGAAATACATTAAATGTCTCTAAAACCATTGGAATTAGTTTATAAGAAACAAAAGTTTTCTACACGGTTAAGAGAATAATACAAATTAACTTCATTATTTAAAATAATATTGCCTGAGCTAAGTTTGTCTTGAGCAACTCATTGAGCCCCATTTACAGACATTTAAGCTGTTCAGGTGCAATTGAATCTTACTTAAACATTAAGATACCAACAGCAAAAATCAGACTGGTTGCTCAAATAATGATAATGGCACACAGGCATGCATTAAGAATTTACTTTGACAAAAAAAAACATCGCCTTCAAGCAAGAAGAGAGCTGTCTGTGCAAAAAAAGTGTGGATACAATTTTCTATCTCCATAGAAATTGCTGTATCTTCAATGGCATTAGCAGGTTATAGATAAGTAGCACAGAGCTATCTAATCTATAAATTGTGTGGAAGCTTGTAGAAAGCCTTAAGAAACTGTATCACTATTCACATCATTTTCTTAAATTAAGAAGAAGAAAGTAAATTGAGAAACTTATTATTAGGTTGAGAAGGAATGACTGACTAAAGAAAGTTTCAAAATAAGATTTTTTTCCCATTGTATTATTTAGAGCTGAAAATGTAAATGTACACACATATGTATATATTTTCTCTTTTTCATCAATGAGAATCTATCTCCAAAAGAAGTTTAAAATGTTAATTTAAGAAGTTTGAACACTTATTTCAGTCAACTCATGGCTATAAAGTTTTCTACTTTTGAGCAATAAAAAAATTCAGTACTGATGATTGGTCTGAAATGGTATCCTCACCATTCTTTGAACCATCAGAAGGAAAGGATATTGATTACATTAATCCCGATTGTTAATTGTTAATTAATCCCAGGAAACAGATGACACAGGATTGCAGTCCCTTTAAACTGATAACTACACAATCCAAGAAGAATTTTTTCTTATTTTAAGGAAGTTTTTCTTAAGGAAAAAAAAATTCTACCACTCATGATGATTAATGTATATATTACAATGTTAATACATGAAACAAAAAACAAAACAAAGAATCTATTGGTTTTCAGATAGTTTTTGAACAAATATAGCAAAATAATAAACATAAAGCAAAAGAAATTCTTTACAATCACAGAAAACTATTGTTGGTTTTTTTTGTTATTATAGGAATAGATACGTACAACTGACACAGATCTTTGACAATTATGATCCATTCCAAATAATCAAAACATTATAATTAATTATTTATAGAAATAACAAAATTGTACATGGTCAGAATTATCAAGAACCCTGAATAAGTTGTAATAACAACAAAATTATTGTTTATTAAGTACACAAGCAAAAAAATTAATATCAGAAAATAACAAATATATATACAACATAAAATATTTAGTTAAAATTATGACTTTTAGTCAGAAGCTATTAAAATAAAATTAGTATAACCTATATCCCAATTTAAATTAAAAACAATAAAATTTATCAGAATATAATATAAGAACAACAAATTGTATGGAATTACAACCTAAAGTCATAAATCAAATTTTCACATGATATCCAAAAGGTACTTTTGTAAGGTCATAATTTAAGTTAGTTTTTATCAATTTCTTCAATTCAACAGTACAATCTTGATTTTGTAAATGTCTAATGTATTGTATTTTGAAGGTGAATATTTTAAAAAAATATTAAATAACTCCTTTGAAAAAAAAAATTACATAAAATAGAACTGAATGAGAGGAGCAGGTACAAACAAAAAATGTTCAGAAGGGAGTAAAACCAAAGTAAATGTCATAAAAATTAAAAAAAAAAAAAAAAAAAATGAAGAGCTTTAAAGTTACTGGACTGACATACTTAAAAATGATAATACAATTATAGAACCAAAGAAATACTATTTAAAGTTTTTTCTTACATTAATAGTAATGAAGTCTGTATCAAATATTTAAATTATTAAGGTTCTACTGTATCATGAATTTATTGTATTTAAAGCTTTGGTTTAATTCTTAAGAAATTGAACACCATGGCAACAAACAAATAAGGCACTAATTTAGGCTTAAGTTATTTTATTGCCATGAAAAAAAAAATGCATTTAAAAATGGTTATTAATAGATTAATGGCCAATATAATTAAAATTATATCAGAATCAACTAAATTTATATTACAAAGGTCTTCAGGTAGGAAATCATCACAACGAATGTTTATACTGACAAAGAGAGCAATATCACATCAATGATTCAAGATCTTTAGTAAAAAAAAATGAATAAACCATTTGAATTTTTAAAAATAGAAGATAAAATAGTGAATATTATACGTAAAATGTAAATAGAGAGCTTGAGATTCATTATGCATATGTCATGGTGATGTTAATATCAATTACAATTAAAATAATATCATATATAAATAAGATTATGGGCTTAAATAAAAAAAAAAATTAATAACTAAACATTGTACATTAAATAGACATAACACTGATACATGTATTTATGGAAATGATGAATTTCCGTTAATGCTATACAAAACTAAATAATATGTCATTTAGTGAACCTAATAACTATTTTTAAAAAAAACGTCACATGAAAAGAGAGCATTAGTAAATTAAATTTATAAAAAGCTGCAAAAATAATCAAATGGCCCATTACTAAAATTATTATTATAAAATAATCCTGACAATATAGATATAGCAAATATAAGTACAAAATATATTTTGACAATATGTAGAAACGATGAAGTAATATAATTACAGATGTACCAAATATTACAAGCTAAAAATCTGAGAATGAGTAACTGATTGTAAAATTAGAGCTATAAAGATCTAAATATCCATCCATAAAAAGATATTTTTTCCCCAAAAAATAAAATATTTGAGACACTAATTGAAGTGGTATAACTATATAATCTACACAAATAGAGACAATGCACCAAGTTGTTGGTAAAATAGCAGCTAATTTAAAACAGAAATACTGTTCAATAATTTTTACCTAGATTAAGTAATACTCAATAAAGATCAAAATTATTACTAATTCAATATTTATTGGAATTAAATAATATTGGATAGGATTGCTTTAATACAGAAATTGATATAGTTTTAAATTTATACTGTATAGTTGTCGACTTGATTATTTCGAGTTGCCAATATGTTAATTAAAATAATTTTAGGATTTTAATGATTGACATTAGAAACATATTTTATTAGGTGCTTATAGAACCATGTAAAGCACTCCAAAAAGGAGGAAAGACTCTAAAAGTTGATTTAAATTTACAAGTGGGAGTTATTTTTTAACTTGGAATAGGTCGTTAAAAAAAAGATTATGTTTTATAAATCCTTAAAACCATAAATTGTCTCAATTGGTTTGAATTAGAACAGATATTAGTTTAAAAAAACAACAACATATCATTAAAAATTTAAATAATAAAATAGAAAAACTAAAATTAAACCATTTTATAGAGAAAAAAAGTTACAATTTATACTGTCAATATTGTCATTTTTTAATACAAGTATGTTTATTTAATACTAAATCTTGAGGTATTATAAAAATAATTCACTTCTATTAAATTAGTGAAATAAATTTAACAGATAAAAACTAATATAAAAACATATTAAATCCTTTGTCACATTCAAAATAACATTAACTTTTTAAAAATTATTGTAAAACACTATTTTTTTTTCCATTATAGTAACAGTATAGATGTATAATAAGAAACATTTTATTTGTAATTATCTTAAATTCAATTAATTTGCCAAATATTAAACCTTTTTATAAGTTAAAGATGCTGGAAAAAAAAATTAAGTTGATAATAAAAAAAATGAGAAATACAGATAATAGTGTTTTACAATAACAATTATTTAATACACAGTAATGGTTATTAATTAGTAATATGTTGTAAACTAAATTTATTTAATATTTCTGGAAACTAATTAACATTTCCTTTTACAATGTGATGTATATTTAAAACGAAGTATCATAAAATTACATAGAGAGCAAATAAGAGATTCGTGTATCGTGTATCATTGTATGATATAAATGGAATGCTAAAAAATCTATTCCTATCTTCACATGGTCAAGAACACCCAAAAATAAAATGGCCATACTAATACAATATTTTTATCAATAAAATATCACTACTGATATGGTGAGAATAAAAGAAAAATACATACACTGAAAATAAAATGATATAATTGACAAGTTAATCAACAATAGTACCCCAAAGTTACAAAAAATATAAAGAAAAAAAAAAAGAGGGGTATTGTTTAAGATGCGATGCTGTCGTGGTCCAGTACTTCCTTAGCTTCTCAATAACTTCAATTTAAGGTGTTTCAAAGTATCTGATTCTCCTCAGGGTCCTCGTCCTTAAGTATTGTAAGTTTTAATATTGGTCTAAAGGAGGGTTAGTTTTAAGAATAATGCCAAACCAAGACTAAATAAAGTTTAAAAAAAATACTCAGAGCTAATTATGATTATATGAAAGTTAAAAATAAATGTAAACTCAATATAAAAACAGTAAAACCTCAAAAATTGTGTAGAATATAATTTATATGATTAAATAAATTTAAACAATTTTCTCATAAAATATAATGATCACATGATAAACAAATTATGTTTGCTTGATAAAAGAAATATAAAAATTAATATCAATGGGGAATTCCTAGTCAAATCTGAGTAACAATGATTTCTTGCCCAAAATTACTTTCTACTTAAAAAATATATTTATAGCTTTTTATGGCAATCCAATATGGCAGGGCAAAAAACAATTTAGGAGCCAATCAATTTGTAGAAATCCTTTCAATTTATACTCCCAGCTCTACTTTCAGTTTTTTTCCACTGACATATGATAATAATGATAATGATATCCTGATAATAATGATATCCCACAAGCTTAATATTCCATTTGTTAACACCTTTGCTAACTATAAGATATCTCATAGACACCATCTACGAGTTAATCCGTAGAACGTTTTTGTTTTACCTATGCCACATACGATCAACTGAATATTGCTTGGTAGCAAATGTGTTAATATCAAATATCACTAAATATTGAAATATCAAAGTTTAAAGTACATCAAACACCATAAAAGAACAGTTAGAAAAAGCACCTTTCACATACACAAATTTTTTTTTTATAAATGTTTCCAAACTCTATAATGAATAATTCTACTTTAAAAAATTGTTTCTGCTGCTGGATCATATTATGACTTCAAGTGGTTTTTTTTTTTTTTTGTTTTTTTTGTTTTGTTGGTCTCTCTCTTGTACATCAACTGTGGAACAATGCTGTAGATAGTCCTGCTAGCACTGATTCATTCCAACAGCCCTAATGTATCTGCTCTACTAAGGAATGTTTTGAAGGAATCTTTCCTCATGCTTGTAATTTAAAGCTATACAATTTTCTATTTAAAAGATGAAATGTGTGTGGAGAAAATTTTGGGACACACTGAAACTCAGGGTATGGTGTTCTCCAAACACTTCTTTGAAAAACTTAGGACAGTTACTAACTCTTCTGTTGCCAAGAAATCCATGTACCAAACCTTTGAAAGCTTCGGAAGTGCCTTTATTTTCAGTGTTTGATTAAAGTTAGAATCATTGAATATTTCACAAATTTAAAGGCCAACAAATATTCCTTCCATGATCTTAACATCACATAATCTGAAGAATTTCTCTCTCAAAAACACTTGAAAGCTCCATCCGTCTTGGTCTCTAGATTTAACAACGTTTTTCATCAATGCCACCACCTTGATGTGTCAGAGAGAGAGAACAATGAGAACAATTTGTAAATCAACCAAAGGCTCTTTTTAGTTGTTATTTTTTTTTCATCAGAGTTAATGATTAATCCTGGCAATTCACTTTTCTGTACACCTGTAAATCCAATAACATTCAAGCATAGATTTTTCAACATTCAAGAATGATATACCCAACCTTTCTGCACTCAATATCCCACTAACAAAAATGAATCGGTGAAATAGTCCACCCACTAAACTGTACCTAAGAAACAAGAGGTAATTTAATTTTTTCATGGTGATCTTTGTATTCAACAGACAAATATACATTAATATGATCAATTTTCAGGAACAAAACATTTTCTTTGTTGGTCAGTGTAATCATAATGAGATAAATAATCATAATTAGCTTTGAGCAAGGAAAATTAATCTAGTTATAAAAGACAAATCCACTAAAATCAATTATCATAGAATAAAGCAAGGTTAATTTAATTGCATTACACCATAATTACTGAAATATTTTCATGCAAGCATGAAACAAGTCTCTATTTATATCCCAATTTTCAAGACATTACTAGTTAGAAACAATAAAAAGGTAGTGCACTATTGAGAAATAAAAATGCAAAATAATGCATAAACCCACTAAGTGATAATACCAACACCACAAATATTTTTCACATACATTCAAGTTAATAGTACACAACCAATATTAAGTCTTCTAATTTTTTTGCAGATAAGCAGTTTAAATTTCATAAACTTCAACTTATAATATTACATAAATCCATTACAGTTCCCAGTATATTTTAACTACATGCTGACAACTTCTAGATCGATTTATCTGTTCCTCCTTCTATGTTATTAGTAGTGACCAATATTCAGGAACACCTAGATAGGATCAGTGCCTAAGATAACTGAATGGAGTGACTCAAGAACACAGAACGTGATATGTCCCAGCAATAAAATATTACTGTACATGGCTTCCATTCTGTTCCACTATCACAGCCACACAGTTTGATATTCCACAGCGAAACTGACAATGAGATTGCTGAACCCCAGGGCATATCACATTCTGTATGAACCAGAGATGGGCAAAAGGAGAATCAATGATTATAACTGAAAATAAAACTTAATGACCATACCGCCAATTTTATACTTGATCCAATGTAGCAAAAATGTGACACTATTACCAGATTAAATCATAATCAGAAACCAGATTACTGTAATCACATAATCAAAATCACTGTAATCAAGATTACATTAATCACAACCACTGGTTATGATTATGCTCATCTATGGTGTGAACAAACCTTAAAGATTTGATTCAATGAAAACTGAGGCCAATATTATAGGTTTAATTACCTTCTCAGATCCAACAATATCTATATGCCAGAAATGTTGAGATAGGGAATAATTGAAAAAAATCTTCTCTACATTAATCTTAAATTATCATAACCTTACGTTCAGCTCTTCTGTAACTTGAGTTTTATCATAGATCAAATCCTGTCCTGGAAAGCTCACATCTCCCAAATTTCCTGAGAAACAATAAGTAATCTTCACCATTATTTTTTTTTATCCTCATTCAAATCTCTCTTCTTACAAGATTTTTTCACATTCCAAACAGATGTTCTCTAATCATGAAATCTTAATTTAGAGCAGTTTGATAAGAAGTAAATAATTGTTCCTCCTTATTGTTTCTAATTTTTATATTACAACATTAAGAGTTAGTTCATTATTATTATTATTATTATGGTTGAGGGTGCAATCAAAGATAGGAAGTGCTGTCAAAGATAGCAAAAAACTCAAAGAACAAATAAAAATTACCAATCTGATATTTATATAAACTTGATGAAGGTCTAAAACTTGACAATGAAATGTTGGCACAAACATAATTTTTTTTTTTTCACTTTTACTGTTTTTATTTCATTTATTTTTTATTTCAAGCACTGAAGTTATTCAAGTAATGAAGTACTTGAACAACTCCAGTGCTCGAAACATGCCCTGATGATGACCCACATGCTTAGGTTGAAACATTGCCATCAATAAAAATATTCACAATTACTGCATCCTGACTATTTACTACCTATGATAAGTAGAACAGTCGTCTAACTTTCTTCAATAAGTTACAGAATAGAGTACTTTTTTTATTATTTCTCTTCACTGAGACTACAGCTTTCCAGTTTTAGGTTACAAGAAGAATTCATACAACCATCAAAACTAAGTCTATCTTATCTTGGATCACCTGATTCGCCATTTATCATGAACTTCGCAGGTTAAGAAATTCTTTGGAATCTTAGAGTCTCAATCTCAAATTGAAAAAGAAAGAAAATCACATCCCCATGTCTGACAAACAAGTTTGTGTCAAAGGGTTGGGAGAAGTCAGTGTTGAAGGGTATTACAGATTTTCAGTTTGACGCTAACATCCTCATGATTTCTTGACTATTTTTATTTACAAGAGAATGCGGTAGCATTCTGGTCAGATGATACTAATGAATGCGGCACGAAAGCCAAAAAAGGATATAGTTTACACTTCTTATATTCCAATAACATGACTAACATGGGCTAAAAACGGAGTAGCGACAATTTTTCTAGGAAGTCTTAGCAGTTACTTAATGAATGGCTCACAGAATAAATCTTGTCAGTTCCAATTTGGTTAGAACAGCTTTGAGTAAAAAGAAAGCCAAGATGATTTACTTCATAATGGTACATATCAACATTTTTGTAAGCTTTGTAATTTAAGATGATGTATATTTACAATATCTGGTATGTGTACTATAACTTATCATAGTGCAAGCAAATAAAAAATTACATAGCAACTGGTTAAAATTGTACCTACCTAACCCTATTTGGAGAGAAAAAACCGATGCTAGAAGAGGAAGGAGTTTTCCTAAAATCAACCTCTCGAATAAATGACTCCCAATACTCTCCTGGTAATTCCAGAAGTTCTCCCATAATCTGAAGATTAAAATGGAATAGTCATTATCTTTATTGGTAATTAAAAAAACAATAAACAGTAAAACATTATGAAATATTGTACCTTGTTACCAGTCCTTGTTTCTCCATAAACATTTTCTGGTTCATTACATGAATATCCAATTACAGTGGGACCGAAAACTTTGGCCAAATTTGAAGTAGGCATTTTACATTCAGGAGATTCAGCCACCCTATAAGCAGTAAGGGTTTTTAAATTAAATAATAAAATAATTACATAAATAAATTATACCAAATTTTTCAGAATAGCAACAAAAAAAAAAACGCTGCAAATTATTTCACAATGGTTTATTATCTCCAAACAATTATACATCTAAAGTAACATTACCTTTCGAATTACAAAGAAAAAAAAACAAAAGATGATTCCAATTATTGGACTAAACTGTTTTTCTTTAATCATTAGTAATAGGCTAAAAAAATAGCATTAGTTCAGTAAAACATTTCAAATATAAAAACCAAATCAAGGATATAACATTTGAAGTAGAACACATAAAAAAAAAAAACCGGAGACCATATCTTTGCTCCTAATTGTCCGATTTTAACAATTTTTTTTTTTTTTTTTAGGAAATTTCGTAAACTTTGAAAAAACTATATACAATATCAACAAAAAAGTAAAAACTTTTAGAGTTATTCGGAATTGAATTTTACCATCCCTCGTAACTTTTTTTCCAGCTTCTTTTCGTTGAAGTATGTTATGTAGATAAATTTAAAGGGCGTCAAGAAAATGACTTTAGCGAAGTTTCATTGAAATCTGTACATTCGTTTAGGAATTACAGTCTAAAGCAATACAGGTTTTTAGGCCGCCATTTTGAAAGTTCGATGAATATGAATGAAATAAATGATCATAAATGATTAGTTATGTCGATGAAGGAGGATCATCCTTGGGTGACCTCTGATTTTATATCAAAATTTGAAAAAAATCGGTCCAGTAGTTTAGGAGAAAATGCGCGGACGGCGGACGGACAAAAGAAAATTTTATTCGTTTTTTGAATTCTACGCGTCTTGAAACGTGAAATCTCAAATTTTGAGAGGTGGTTATGTTTTTGAATTTTTTGGTCGATCACAATGTTTCATTATTGAAAATACTAAACCAAAATATTAATGGACGACATCTAATTTGGATTAATTAATTAAAATTTTCTCTTTGCTTTGGCTTCAATAAAAGTCTCCTAATGAAAAAATGTTTGGCAAAAAGTGGTCAAAAAAACATTGCTAATAAAACATTTTTTAAACTTAAAACGAGCTATGCAGAGAGAGACCAACACCTTCAGAAAAAAAAAATAGACAAGATTAATTCTAATGAAATTATATTTAATAAATAAATATGTAAGGTCTTATTCACCTCTGAAGATGGAGAAGTAGGTAAGCTAATGTATCACGGTTAGGTTGAGGGAGGCTAGATATAATGTGAAATAGTTTTTGTCTCCTCTCTTCAACATCTTCAATCTCAACAGCGTGAGCAAAATCATCCCACCTATTAAAAAAATAATAATTATTATAATAGTTTATTCAAACTGTACTCAAAAGTATAATATTTATTCATAAAAGATCTCAATAATATTTACCTGAGCCTCGTCGTAAGTGGGTCTTTCAGAGATCTTAAGAAATCTTTAAGGCAACCACATACAACGTGAATTTCCTGAATTTGTGATAAGATTGGAACTCCCTTACCACGTAAAAATTTTTCCTAATAAAAAAAAAATCTTTTTAGTTTATTTTATTTCATAAAACAAAACTTTCAAAATTGATACATAATCAAATATAAAGAAAAATTACAGCATCAAATTTTGCATTGAAGGACTTGTAATTAAGGACTAGAAATCAGAAAAAAAATTAAAAATACCACATCAGTGTTAAGTTATCAAGGGCCTCCTTGTTATTAAAATTTAACAATCATAACTTTTGTTGATATTTGAACATTAGGAAGGTGAAAAAAATGAATGAAAATTCTGATTGCTTTCCAAGAGTTCATATTTATCTCCGACTTTAAGAAGAAATAATTAAGGATTCTCTGATAGTAATGGAAACCCGAATGGGTCAAGTTACATTAATAAAAATGTCTGCCAAGGAAGGTCAGTATAGCTTCCTCACCGTTTGCACTATCTAAAAAATATCTATATTACAAGATCTAATATTTTTCTAATATGAGAATAAAATTTCTGGGAGAAGCCTTTTTCGAAAATTCAGTAATCCCTCAACATATACGGGTTTGATATCCACGAGATTTGTTCATCAGCGAATACTAAAATGCAAAAAAGTTCCGCACATGTAGATTGCATATTTGGTGACATGGAATTAAAAAAAAAAAATCGATTGCTTACTGAACATGGAGTGTTTTTTAGGAAAGCATAAAAACTAATTGTTTCGTTATGATTTATTAGTATAATTTCATAATTTATTGCCCTCTGCTATTTTTCTTCATAGCAGAATGCTTACGACCTTTTGCACTAACAGTATTAATATGTACTTAATCGGCATGTTTTCACTCGTAAAATCGATGTTACAAAAACTCCATAAAAGAAATAAGAAAAACTAAACTTTTTGTTTTTCAGAGTTAATGATACCAATACTTTTCTTCAGTCAGAACAAAACTATTTAAGCTGGAATATAAAAATACACGTAAAAATCACACATAAACTCGATACCACGACGAGCTGGTTGAACTTCAATAGAAATTAACACAATTACAAATAAGATTTTTCTTTTTTACAAACTCAGAGTAAAAATTAATTTAAATTTATTGAAAATTACACGAAATCTAAGTAAGGTTTGGAATTAAGGAAACAATACAGTATAGATTAACTCTTTGAATAACACCTAAAATTTTATAATACCATAAAAATATTGTCATAACCTAACTCCCACTCCATATTATCAGTACCTTTCATGTTTCACTGCCATTATATTAATAACAATTATTTATATTAATTTTAATTATTAAATTGAATTTATATTAGGAAATTTCTACACTATTCTCCAAATTTCCTCCAAGTTTGGGTCAAATTGAAAGGGCAGTTTTCAAACTATAGGCTTGCCAAATAATACATTTGCTGATCCGAAAGCAAAAGCAAAAGTAATTTTTCCAGGAGAAGTGGATAGAATTAGATAAAATTCATACCAACTTGATTATCTGTTTACCAATCCCTAACTTATCTCTAAATTTGAGCCAAATCGAACATGCGGTTTTAGAAAATACGAGGAATTAGTGGACAGAACTCAATAAAATTGGCATTACATTATTTTTCCACCATTACCTATGTTTTATCCAACTTTGAGCCATATCTGAAATATTGGCATAACTAAAAAAATACATTTGCGCGTGCGGAAGTGCTGGATGGAATTTGATTAAAATTGATATGGGACCATCTAGGCAACAATCCACATAATCATCCCAGAAAATTTCATGAAAATCGGATGAACGGTACTAGGTGATATGCCCGTCACATCGATTTGACTATAGACAGACAGACTGACACCGGGCCAAATTTGATCCTTGATGTTTGAAACATAAAACACTAGTGGAAATTTTCGATTCTGAGCACAAAATTTTTTTAATCTCTCTCACGAACACAATGCTACCCTACCTTCGGTAGTGAGGATGCAAAAAATCCAAAACAAAAAAATCTCAAGCCATTACATAATTAATATAAAAAATCTGGTGCGTGCAACACAACTTTCACTTACCTGTACTTTGAATAGAAATAATTTTCTAGCAATGTTGGGCTATTTTAAAACTTTTAAAGTGTATTTTTAATCCAGCTAAAGCTTAAAGCTTACTGCTAACAAATCATTAATACCATTAAAATAACAAAAATCTTTCTATCAGATATTATATTTTCTAAAATTCTCTGCTTTCAAACGATATATATTATACGTACATCTTCTATTATTTCTGGAGATTCGTTTTCGACCTGGATAAGTATTATTTTTTTTTCTCCTTTATTCAATTACCAAATTCTTCCAAAAATTATATTAAGCCTTTTTTTATAACTCCTAATAATGAGACGGTTAATTATTTAAAATAAACCTAATTAAAGGTACTTTAGAGGAAGACAATTTGAACATCTGGCATTTAAGCCCTGTTAAGCGACATCAATAGAGATAAGACCTAAATGATAATGAAGATTTCTTAATTATACATTGATACACCAAGTTTAAACAAAAATGTTAGAGAGGTTTTTGAGAAAATCACAACAATGTGTAAGATCGATAATATAAAGTGCCACTTCCGGTTTGTTGAAAAAGTTGTAACATCCCAAGCATATATAAACCTTAAACACACAATTTCATTTTTATAAGAATTTTTGTTTTTGAGCTAGACTGTTCACATACACACACAGACCATTTTGTGAGACTTAGTTATTTTAACTTAGGGAACCTCAAAAAGTATATTTCTGCTGAAATCTCGTATCCGAAAATTTTTATGATCGCAATATTTTCCCTTACTATATATTTCATATATACTAAGTGAAAGTAATATAAAATCTTTTGGTTAGATATAAAATAAACATGTTGGCATGTGCCATCAGATGATAAAAAAATAAATCAACTTTATCAGTCTATGAAGAACTCGAGACAAAGGTACTCATTTCAACCTTTTAGTATTTTATGGAATCAAAAGTATGCTCTAATGATATGAATCTTCTGATGGAATCCATTAATTATATGCGCCAAACTTATGTATAATTTGACAATTAAAATTTAATTATCTTATACGTTATTACACCTAAAAATGACATGGAAGTTTATTTATTTACCTTTAATGCTTTGACCTCTTTATCAGACCCTGGTATGCGATATAATCCAACTTCTGAAAGTCCTCTCTCTTCGACTTCTTTTATGCAATGAACAACGAGAGCAGGAACCATGGGAGGCAGCAAAGGTGTATAATCTGCAATCGTTCCCTGAAAAAATAAATAGAAAACAACTTACAGACAAATAGATAAAAAAACTGGGTATGCATATTTACAATCCCTAAAACTATAGAAAAAAAGGCTTAAAATTAAAATCAAAGAAAACTCACAGCAGATGATTTACAAGGAGTATGACCATTGGGTACACAAGGCAGTGGAACTTTATCTTTGCAAATAGTATGGCAAATTGTCTTACAATCTCGACACTTAAGACCCATAGCAGAAAAGCGTAACCTGTAATAAAATAAATAAATAATTATAACAAGTTAAAAGAAATAATTGTAATTACAATTAAAAATATAAAATAAATTGAGACTTTTAGACAAGTTCATAATATATTTTTTATATCCTTGTCACTGGCAACTGAAAAAGTGTAAGGCAAGTAAATATTGGTTGTTTGAATCACAGAAAACATTTGATTAACTGATTAGCCAGTAAGGGGAATGAACTGAAAATGATCACATTTGGTAGTCCATAAGATAATGGTGAAAGCTATTTTCAATGACAGAAAAAAAGGTAGCCTCAGATAAGCTCGTGAACATACCACCAATAAATTAAATCAATTTACCTTTTACAGCAGACATTGCATGCTTCACTTTTCAACATAGCTTTCTGTTGGAAATTATGAGGGCGGGTGTTAATCATATTCATAGAAAATGGCTGACCATTGGCTTTAGGTGTTAACACAGCGTCATTTTCATCTTCTACATAGAAAAAAAAACATATATATTTATACATGTATCAAAAATGAATTATTTATAATCTTTTATAGAATCAAAATAGCAAGTTTTACCCATTGGAGGAGCACTTGGATGTAAATTCTCATTATGCGGCCTAGCCTCAATTACAGCAGTGGCTTGTATATTTGATTCATGATCTACAGTAACTGTAGTGGTAGCTACAAGGCGATCCTTACCCTTCAGCTAAAAAACAAAAATAATGGAATTATTAAGACAAGGTACTAGGAAAAAATAGAATCAATGTAATAATTAAAAGCTTTTACCTCACAAGCTCTTACAGCTGAAGATGATCTTCGTTTCTTTCTATTTTTATTGGAACGAACAGGATTTGATCTTTTCTGACCTCTATTTTCAGAAGATGATATGTCAAGGAAGTCATCTTCATCTCTAGTATAGCTGAGGTCTGTCATGACTGATCCTAGAAACCAAAGGATTGTTAGAAAAATATAACCAAGATACCAAAGAGAACTTTTATTAAATAAACACTCTCTTACAAAAGTTCGATATTAGATAAACGAGAAGAAATAATCTTAAATATAAAATGAAATTTGTAATCTTTAAATTGCATTTCTGTAAGCAAATAAAAATGTTCACACATCAACTAACAAATGTTTTGATTAACAACAGTGCTAGCTTACAGAGTCCATTAATTTTCCCCACAACTCAAGATAGGAGAAACATGTTAATTAATCAAAACATTTGTTGCTCAATTGATATCTATTTGTTAGAGCACTCTTGATACAAAAAAGAGATTTAAAAAAAAGTCTACAGAACTGTTTTCAATGGAATTTAACAATTTATAAGTTTCTTTGGTAGATTTTCTAGCACTATTTAATTTGATAAAACTTTGTAACATCAATTTAAATAAATCAAGAACATATACATTTTAAAAGCTTCGTAAAAAGAGTAAAATATTATTTTTTAAAATTTGTGGTACTTTTTGTCTAGCGGGCCGGACTGAAACCTCACTTCTTATCTAAAGTCACATCACATAACCTCCCTCTTCTTATCCCGCCAAACCTTTGAGTAATTGCATTGTAAGTTTTCAGTTATTCCCTTATTACGTTCACTTATTAAATTCTTTACTTTTGGCCCGTTTGTGTTTATTTTACATTTTTTTTTAGTTTGTGGTCCCTTTGTGTTTATTTTTCATTTTTTTCCGTTTATTTTCATCATATTATGGATATGGATTCTTAGAATATGGGATTTGCCGCTTTCAGAAGAACAGAAAATTCAATATTTTCAAAATGTTGGGGTACTTACCGACGTGAAATTGTGTGAACGAGGTCACCGAATGAAGTTAATCAGGAAGGCCAAATGGAGATGCTTTCGTAGGACTTATGACACAAAACTTTCAATAAGAAAAGGAACATGGTTGGAGGGCACAAGGATTTCGTTTTTAACAGCTTTAAAATTGATTTATGGGTGGTCCCATAGCTTGACAACGATGAAGTGGGGCAAAGAGCAGCTGAAACTATCCTCCGGAGCTATGGTAAAGTGAAACAAATGTCCAAGAGAGGTTTGTGGCCATGACATGTTATACAGGCCAAGAAAAAAAATTGGAGAACGTGGCAAAGTGGTTGAAGTAGACGAAAGTCTTTTTTCTAAACGAAAAAACCATGTGGGGAGAGTTTTACCTCAGCAGTGGATGTTTGGAGGAGTTGGCCGAGAAACAGATGAATGTTTTATCTTTTTATAAAACAGATTTTATGTTTTATATTTTTTCTTTTCTATGTAAATATGTTCTTTTAAATGTGTTTTTTCATTATTTCATTTTGATGTTTTATATGTACATATCTTCTTAAAGTGTTTTTTTTTATTATTTCATTAATATATGTGTCGTCAAATAAAAATATTTGATTTGTTATTACATTTGTTTTTGTATATGTTTACTCTTTCAATAATACGAATTTAATACAATAATAAGAAGACATGAAGTAGGAGAAGGCTTATCACTGCGTTATGGGAGTTATCCAGTAGCGGCTCTCTAGACAAAAAGTACCAAATTTGTTTACAAGGCAATATTCACAAGTGTTGATTCGATGGGCTAAGACCTAACAATCACTCTGTAGGTGAAATGCTGCAAATGTCCAAAAGTTGAATCATCAAGTAAAGTCCCAATCTCAACTGAAAAAGATCTGTTGGTTTTTTTATCCTTACTGAGTGAGTGGAAGTCAAAGCAGCAATTTAATTCTAGCCTCTTAAGGCTCCAATTTTGAACGCAAAGTTGAAAAACTACCAGTTTGTAGTTTGCACAAGTTGCTAATTGTGATCTAAAAAGAGGGAGGTTATACTCCTGAAAACATTGACAATACTGACCGAAACTCAAAAGTCTATCTGAAGTATTATCATGAGATACAGTGCCAATCCATCAAAGTGAAGCAACACTTGTGGAGGACAATTTGAAAAAAATAAATGAAATTTTAACTGTTTCAGTGCCACATAATTCATTCAGCACTAATTCAAAATAAAACTACCTGTTGTTTCTAATTCAGTAATGGTATTTAAGCGATCTTCCAAAATGTCCATGCTAGGACGATTTTTATTCAAAAGAGAAAGTTTAACTTTGGTTTCTTCATGCAACTCATTTCTATTATCTTTTAAGATATCTCTTAACTGTTCCAACTGAGCTTCCTACAAAATAAAAGAGCATTTTATAAGAGATCTTGATACAGGAAAAAACAATAAAAAGTATACTAGAAATAGATCTGTTAAGCTTACAAAATAATCCCTATCATCTTCAGCAACTTTCCTCTTTTTCTTTTCTTCATCAATAAGTTTCCTGACAGAATGTATTTGGCTTCGTAAATTTGATATTTCACTGTGAGCAGTTGTTAACTGGGTCGAGAGAGTGCTACATTCATCAATCGCTTGTTTCCATTTCGCTCTACATTCCTCATACCCTTCCAGTGTTTGCACGTATGCTACAAAAACAAAAATTGATTTAGGTATAAATTTGGCTATAAAATACGGCAAAGAAAAAACATGAAATATTAACATATCTATTATCAAAATATTTATTTTTTTGTAAATGTCTATACCTTTTACTACCTTGGGAAGAATAGTAAGAGCATCCATGGTATCCTTCATTAAATGGTCAAAACCATTAACTGTTGTAAACAATTCCACGCTCATTTTGTTAATTTTAAACACAAAAACATAAATATCATACAATAAACACCTAGACCGGCAATTAAAACTAACTAACTAATAAACTGAGAGAATAAGCCCACCCTAATGGGATAAACATATTATAATCAATTACGCGAGTAACTTAATTTATATCACATATTAAAACTATATATAAAATAAGAACTGGCCGCCCGCCCCAAATCCGTTAGGAACTGAATGTACGTTACAAAACTCAAGTTCAAAGGTTCAGTGACAGGTTATCCAAAATATTCAAGTTCATTGGTCAAAATCACGCATGCGTAGGGTGAGGAAACAAAATTATTTATTTTTTTCCTTTTACATTATATAAAACCTAATTTTATCATGTTAATTAAAGAAAATGAGAATAAATTGTTATCTTCGATTTTATCTGTTTTTCTTAGAATTAATTCAAAAAGTGAATTCATGAATAAATGCAGATTAAGGTTCTCTAGATTGTTTTGTTTACAGTTGGTAACGGAGTTACCGAAATAATTTTGACTTAAGATTAATTCCTATTAATTAATGGCTTTTCAAGCCGACAGTTTAATTCCAGCCAGATTTTTAATATTACTAGCTAATCTTATTATTCTTATTCTTGCTCTTTGGACAAGGGTTAGTTATCTTATAATTTGTTGTAACCATTTTATTAATAAACAATTTTTTAATTTTTTTTTTAAATTAATTCATAACTATTTGGTAGGATGGAAATGTCGTTTCTAGCTTACCTTATGAATTTGATGAAGAGGAGTATTATTTTAAAGATAGAGAGTAAGATATAATTTGAAGTACCACCTCTCACATTTAATGGTTTAAAAAATAACAAAAATAATTACAGCATTACTTTTTCAATTTTTTGCAGGTTGATTGTAGGTCTATCTCTAGGTATAGCTTTTATCGGAGTTGAATTCATAGGTTTCTTCAGTGGTGTATCTATGTTCAAGCCATCAATTGGCTTATTATGTATCCTTAATTATTTTGACATCTTGTTGTTTGCACAGGTTTTAGCTACAATAAAAAATCACTGAGACGTTGCATTGATAAAGTGTTGTATTAGACTGCAGAATAGTGCAGTGATATGCATCTTTTGTTATAGGTCATAACCCTTTCATTCTCACATTTCTCTGTGATTGCACAATTAGCACATTAGCTTTTTTTTCTTAATACTTTTATCTTGAGTTGATTACACAGTTTTCTATCGTTTATAAACCGTAAATTTAATGGATGTAAACAATTTTGTTTAAGATCAAATTTTTTTTTTTTTTTTCCTAAAAAGTTTTGAAAAGATCATTAATAAAAATAGGTAAACTTATATATTTTTCACTGACATAGGCTTAAGATAGATTTAATATTTATGAAGTAGTATTTTTTAATTTATTTATTTAAATTTTAAAGATTATGTATTAAATATTTACCTATTTTATCAACAACATTTTAAAATAAAAAAAATAATCTTACAACAGCATGTTGGATCTCAATTAATGTTTGATTAAAAAAAAAAAAGTTAATTTAAATTTGTTTATGAACTGCGCTCAAACATAAAGTATGATGTTCAGTTTTTAAACCAAATAAATGCCTACTAATAAAATATGTTTATTATTCACAAAAACTTCTGAAATATTATTTTTTAATTCTATTAAAATTATTTTTTATCAATTTTTAATCAACATGGAATATGTTTTAAGCTTTACTATCTAAAGTTTTAAATTTATTTTTAATATTCAATAAGTAGCATTCTCAGAATGGCCCAATTTAATTTTCAAACACTAGTTTTTAGTTTACTTTTTGCCATATCTGAATTATTTTTGTTTCCCTAATAAAAATAATCAATTTTTTTTTGCTATTTCGAACAACATGCATAGCTGATTTTTTTTCCCCCTTAAATGATTTATTTTTTCCAATTTTCTAAGTCTCAAGACCTATCATTCATAAAAGCCATCATTACATCAGTAGCTAATAAATAAATAAATGGTTGAGTTAAATAGTAATTGTTAGAGCTATTTAAAACATTTCACATAAAATCATTTTTTTATAAAATGAAAATCATAATTTTAAAAACATAATTAGGAGTCATATTCACAGAGCTACAAGAATAGATTCAGGATTTAATTTTGAGATGGGAGCCTTTTTTTCGGGTATTTTTTTTTTTTTAAATAACAATGATTACTGAAACAATAATGCTTGAAGGGATAAATTTAAAAAAAAAATTGTATACATGTGAATTATAATTTCTTCAACATTTATTAGCTGAAGTACATGCATTGTAATTTAAGAAATCTGGTGCGCACATCACACGACTTTCACTTACATCCTTTTAGTAGAAATAAATATTTTCACACAAAGGGGAAGTGAAAATAAAAATTATTGATGCTATATTCATTTACATTTCATAGTGGATATTTGTATTAGTTTAATTATTCTTATATATACAAATTTTAATTTTTATATCGCTGTAATCTATGCAATTAAATATTAAATATTACCAATGATAGCATTTATTACAACCGCAAATATATATATATTGTAATATCTCTTATATTTTTTAACTAATAATATAACCTCAGAAGGCCACTTCATACTGTTAGGATACTTCCGAAAGAAGTAAGAGGTTGTTAAATAATAAATAAAATTATAAGAGTATTAATATATTGAATTGAAATTTATAATTATTTTATCTCAGGTATGGGTTACTGACAATCTGATCAAAAGACTCAGACAGACTAACAGTAACTACACTAAACGTTGTTTGATTGTAAAATAATGACATGTATTAATTGGAAGGTTACCTTTTTTCAATATACACTGTTTCTTTCTCTGTGTTTCTGAATTCATTTGTCTTCTAACATTTTCCTATGTTCTGCCAACACGTCTTCCAAAATAGTAACGCTTTCATCTAATTAACTCGAGCTCCCTTGGAAGTCTTCTGTCTTGTATTTCCAAATAAACTAGTGCCTCCGCCAAACAACAACTGTTTGTCAAAACAAAAATCCTTTGTCCCTCTCCTCTTTGGGATTTTCCTTTTTGTGAAAACTACAGAGCAGCCATTTTCATTTCCATGAACCAGTAAAACTATTTTTCAAATTTAAACATCCCCTGACTTTAGCAGAACTAGATTACTTTGCCTTTTAACTGTTCAACATTAATTTAGTAAACCATTTTTACCAACTTCCAATAAACGGGTATATTACAATATACATAACATTGTCGGTGTCCGTATGATATTAAGCTCATGTTTCATATAGAAGCCTGTTATAGTCTTTCTTGTGAGCTCGAGCTCGTTTGTTTGTGTTCCTTTGGTTCCTCCATTTCAACTATTATCCATTACAATCTCTTATTTCTTCTTTAGTTAATTATCAAATTCTTTCATGTTTTATATTTAACTATTTTTTATATAGAAGATTGCTACAATGTGAAATGCTTTATTTCAAATTAAAAAAATTAAATGTATTTCAGAGGAAGCTAATATTGAAAATTAGCCATTTAAGCCCTGTTAAAGAACATCAGTGAGAATATAACCTACATTATATTAAAAATAATAATAATACACTGATATACTGCATTTAATCAAAATTGTTATAGTCGTTTTTGCGAAAATCGTAGAAATATGTTAAAGCGATTATATAACATGCCACTTCTGCTAAGTCGATTTTGACGAAAAAGTTGCTATAACATCTAAGATATATACAAACCTTAAATATGAAATTTAAACACATACACACACCTTACAGACCATTTTGCAGGACTTGGTTATTTGGAATAAGGAGATCTAAAACATGTATTTCTGTTGAAAACTCAGATTCGAAAATTTTCACGACCGTACTACGTACCTTACTATATATTGCATATATAGGTAAGTGAAAATAAAAAGGGGCATACTGTGATTGTTAAGTATTTAGTTTAGATCACTCATAGAAACAAATATCGACCAATGACAAAAATATATATTTTTCTATCAGCTTCACTCCAAATGCTGAATTATCCTATTTTATTTTAAACGTGATGTGGACAGTTTTAAACAAATAGATTACTCATATCAGTATGTAAAAATAAACATTTATTCTATAAATAATATAATAATTGAAAACCGTTTGAATAACACAAATATCAGTTATCAACATAAAACATTCCAAATTCATTTACTTTTTAATCACAAATTTTTATTAATTACAATAACTAAACTAATCTATGATATAATAACAAATAAACATCTGTATATGCTATAATATATTTATACATTTAAAAAATTTCCTCTTCATTACATTTTTACCAAAATATATATAAAATATTTAATTTTCCTTAACACTTACTTATTAGTGTCAAAAATAATTTTAAACTAAAATAAATTCTTGCTATAGTTTTACTATAACATTCTCTTAAGACTAGTTAAAATTAATTTCTCATTTCCTGAAATTATCTGCTGAGTAGCCTCAAGAAACACGCTAAACACACTAATGTTACTAACACATCTGTTGGCGCTGCATACTCTGAAATCAAAGATAAAGTATTACTACTAATAATTAATTCATAATATATATGTATTTTATAAGCAAGTCTAGTAGACCCCTTTAGAAATCAAATTTATCTCCTCCCATTTTGCTCTAACCATTTTTTTGCCTAAATTCTTTATTGAGATATATTACAATCTGTCACATCTAAGGATAATAGTAGTAGTGATAAAGAGTAGCTCATTCACATTATTAAATAAAAATAAATAAACAGCAAAATAATAATACTAAAAGTAAATGTATATAAACTAAAAGAAACTAAACTAATCAAACTAACTACTTAAATATGCACATGCTTTTATACAATATTTACAAAATTCATTTATTCAAGATCTCTGAGCCAAACTTTCCCCTCACTTGTAGAAGGAAAAGCAGGACTCTAGGAGATCCCAGCATCCCTCACTCAGCAGCATCACTGGTATTAAGGACGAGTGGAGGCTGAGCAGAGGTGCTATAACCAGACATATTTGGCTTGAGTGGAGAATCTGACCATTGCCAAAACTCCAATATATTCCATACCAATTCCAATATATTACAACAGCTATGTGGGTCACTGCCGCTTCAACCGTCGAGGAGGATTGTAGGGATAATTAGAGCTAGATAGGGATTGTGCAAGTGGATTTGGATGATATATTGATGGAATTTGGAATTGAAACATTCGAGTATATTTTAAAAGGTACGTACATTTAGGTACTTGTCAGTAATCTTCCAATATGGTGTTAGTTTAATTTTAATATAAAATATTAATTTACCAAAATCCATCTAAAGCTAAGAATTATTAACAATATTTAGAATATAAATAAAATAAACTTAATGTGTTCATTTTACATTTAATTAAATGTATTCTGAAGGAATATTTTATTATAAAAATGGTTGAGAAAGAAAATAAGTTAAATTACATCTTTTTAATGGGTGCCAACATTTTGAATTATGTATTAGCCGTTCATTAGGGCTGAGCAAAATAAAGTACAATAATCAGAATAAAGTAAAGAAGGATTATATGTGGAAATATGAAACATTAGATTGAAATTATATCAAAGTATTAACTAGCTTGCCTACAAGAATATGGCAGATTGAGAATGATTTTAAAGGGTACTAAGTTGAAACTAATGTCCTCTCAAGGTAGGAAATAAAAAAAAAAATTTTACCACTACAACCCTTGAGAGAGGTGGTTCATTGCTTTGTCAGAAAGTACTGTTTCTTGGTTAACGATTGTGCAAGGATTTGGTTTGACTAATATCACCCCAACCGCGAGGCTTTTTCCCTTAATTAATCATTTGAAAAATATTGTCCAAAATATAAAAATGAAGCCTCTTTAGTTGTTGGGTGAGGAGATAACCTTAGAAGTACCACATAAATTTCATATTTTATTAGTTATAAATAAATTTAAAAACAGTATGAAATAAGGAAAACTATGATTCAGACAATACGCACACATACATATGTTTTATCTTTTGCTCACAAATGCATGTTAACAAATTTTCCAACTATAATTTTAAATTCACTGTGTGTAGTTATGTAGGTGATATTTCAGTTCTGGTATATTCCTGACCACATTCTAGCAATATTCTTACATGGACTGTCTTGTGTTTTAACATCTCAATGGCTGATTCATTCATGGCAAGCATCTTCTTATTGGCTAATATTTGGAGCGTTTTCTATATTACCGGCTGCAGTGGAATCTATTAACATGATTTGCATTCTTACAGGTGCTATTATTAAAGAATTATGACAAACTGAACCGTCACATTGTGTTGCTTTATTTTTTTTGTTAATTGAGATTAAAATGTTATGATAAATTGTAGTCTAAATGTTTTTTTTACTAAGGTAAAATTAATCTATTTTCTAGGAACCAAAATTAAGAAATATTTATCAAAGTTATTTATTTTGAGATTTGTAATATAGTATTTAAAATTTTTGACAACTGTTTTAAAGTAGATATGATTATTTAAATACTAGATAGTTTTTACTAAGACATTTCAATTGATTTATTATTATTATATATCATCATCATCCCAAGCTCAACAATCCATTACTGGATCTTGGCTGCACGTTCTAGACTTCAAGAGAAGCCCTCCACGTTTCTTTGCCCTGAACAGCTGTACACCAGTTGCTGGTTCCAATGGTTCTAGCATTGGTAATTACTCTATCTGTCTCAACTGAGGTTTACCCACTTTTCTTTTTCCAACCATCTCCATGCTGAGCAGTTACTTTAAGAGTTGAGGTCTCCTTCATCCGTATAAAGTAGCCTGTCCGTCTCAACCTTGGTATCCAGATATATTTCATCCCCTCCGGCTCCTTGTTATAAATTAGCTAGTTCTTGGTTACATCTAATTCTCCATTTATCATTCTCTTTCACTGAGCCAAATATCTTGCTAAGAACCTTCCTTTCGAAAACTAACATTTTTCTCACACTCGCCTTATTTAATGATGATCCATGTTTCACAACTGTCTGTCAGAATCAGTCATAAAAGGACTTGGTAGAAGAGCAGGTATAGTTGATTGTACTAGTGAACGGCTTTTCATATACTATATATATATATATATATATATATATATATATATATATATATATATATATATATATATATATATATATATATACTGAATATAGCACAACTATTTTATAATTTTGAAGTTTTAAAAAATATGTTTTTTTTTTCTATTTAGAATATAAAGATCAGCGAAAAATGATACATACATATAGAATACATGAAGAATAGAATCAGTTACTCATAAGACTTAATATTACATTACTAACAGTTTTTACCTATACCGGGTACAAATATATGTAACTATCATTAACTATATGAATTAACCAGTAAGAATCTAGATATCTGCAAAGATAAATTAGATTTAATCTTCTTTATTCAGTTTAATTAGACATATATCAATAGGGTAAATAAAATATGAGCAAGATGACATTATTTTGGTACTATTGGCATCAAACCATCAAATTCGTTATCATTACTGGTAGATTTATCTATTTATTCTTATTCTGTTATTGCCAAAAGGGTATTTTATTATTTCTGAAAATTATAGTCAATTTCTATGCTTATAATTTTTAGAAAGAATTTGTCTTACCTCTCTTTATCTTTAATTTAAAAATATTGAAACTTAGTTTAAAATCTTTGTTTGAAACTTTTAAAATTTTAGTTGAGGCAGAAGTATTTAAAAAAAAAACAGTTAAATATGGAACAAACAGCCCATAATTTAAGAAATAATTTAATCTTTTTAACTATTCACTTTCTAAATTCTGATTCTCCCTTAATCTATACAAATTCTCCTTAAATTTTCAAGTTAAGCATCAAATTAACTATTAATTTTATAGAAGTTTAGTCTACAACAAAAATTTTGAGTCATTTCTTTTAGAAAGAAGTTAAGATTATGACCTACTAATCTTATGCCATTATTATGACAAAACCCATAGACTGATTGATAGCTATAACCATCTACAAGATTTTTAATGAAATAAGTTTACTTTTGTCGATATTTTAGGGCATCATTTTAATGCACTTTCTATATTTATATTCTTTTTTTGAACTTCTAGCTCTTCGTTTCAGCTAAATAAATTCACAGAATTCGGAATCACATATTTATGAAAATATATGTAATGTTTTAAACTTGTGTTTTTTTTAATTTGTTTATCTTACATGATAGTAAATATTATTTAAATTATGTTTGCAGCTTGATCATGGGGATGTACGTGCTCCTTAAATTACTTGGATTTGTAATTTCTAAAATAAAAGAGTTGTTGAATGTGGAACAATATTATTTTATCCTCCTTTGTACTCTTTTTCCTTTTGGTCCATGAGAGCTCTTATAATATTTAACCTTTTGCTAAACATTTAGATTTAAATAGCTTTGATTTTTTTGTTTTGGTAAAAATGACCTGCTCTAAATTGATTTATCAGTTTCTGGTTATTATAACCAATCTCTAAGGAAGAGAAATAATTGTGGTTGCTTTTTCACTATCAATAGCTAAGTTTGTCATTATAAAAAAACTACTTCAGATGAAGCTCCCAATATCTAGAAGCTATAAGAAAGTACGTTAATACTTCATATTATAACTTGGGTATTACTACTGATAACTGAAATGTGATTGGAGATTCCTACTTGTTAAACACAGCCACTGAGGATGTGGGACACAAGATGTCATGACCCTGAAAGTATTGCTGAGTTGAGAATGAAAAATGAATGGTTGTAAATACTAGAAATAATTTATTTAGTTTTATATAATGCAGAAAGTTTTTTACGTAAATTAGGTAAGTTTTTTAAGTGGATAGTATTAGTACCTCATTTTTATAAGTGCTAATATAAAAATATTTTGGCATGTTCTATCTTCCTTTTTCATAATTGGTTTTATGCAACTTTTGATGAACTCATAGAGTGTGGCATATCTTACTTTTGCAGTTCAACAATATCCAAAGATATTGTTGCAATTTTTAATTATAATTTGATATCATCTATGGTTTTCATTATCACCTTCTTATTTCCTTATCAGCAGGATTGTTTGTTTTTACTATAGTTTAACTATATTAAGTATATCCAGATTTAGTTTAATCTGATTATATTTAAATATGACATTCTTTACTTTACTGTAAAATTAGATTGTTTTGAATGTGGAATCAAATCATATTAAAAAATTGGGTAAGATTTAGACAAACTGGGCTTTTGTAACGATTTTGATTTTTTAATTACATCACAAGACATGTTTGATTTAATTTATGAAATTTAGTTGAATGTAAATGTTAAATCTTGACAAGTAAATTTAACATTGCATTTACATCTGGTTTCTTTTTTCATTTTTGGAAATTACTATTACTTTTTGCGCTGTTACTCTTTCTTCTGATTCTCATTTATGAAATTCCATTGCTAAAAATCATGATATACTGTGACATCCTTCAACTTTTTCATGGTATTTTTTCATCCACTATAAAATTATGATTATTTATAACATTTTAAAAGTTTCTTATTCTTTGATGAACTCATCTTTTGTCTGTTCTTTTGAATTATTAACATCAGACCATACTTGTGATATTTATAGGATATATACCAATTCTAGCTGATGTGAACTATCATGACAATCTCAGGAAGTAATTGTTGACCCTATTCAAAGAATTGAACCCGGACTAAGCAAGTTTGTTTTGTGTAGTGTATATGGTATAACTATCATTAGTATGTGCTCTCCATGTTGAATCAATTCTTTTGTTTATTTCAATAATGCATTTATATATATTATTTATATTATCAACTGCCTCTTCATTTAATATTTAATTACTTTCTAATCATTTAACCTTATTTTTTTCTGTTTCTTTTTTCATCAGTCACTATCAAATTCTATCAAAAGAAATTTCTTATCTCATGACCTACTTGAAAACATCTCTTCACTCTGTGCTTTTGAAATATTGGTAGTAAAGCTTTTTATTAGCTTCTCAGAGCTCATCTATTGAACTACTATGGGATAGAACCTTTTTTAAAAGTAGAGATTGGATTTTTATGCAACTGCAAACTTAGTTTGTCTGTTTTTTTATGTTTATTTGTGCACCTGTCACAATGTCTTTAGTTGAAGTTTGTATATATATATATATATATATATATATATATATATATATATATATATATATATATATATATATATTAATAAATATATATTACATATTTTTATTTTTATTTAAAGGCTTGAGACAGTTAGATGAACTCTAAATTCTCCGATACTTAAAATTTTCCACAGAGAATGCGATAAAATCTTCACATAAAAATGGAAGGGTGCTCATGAATGAGTAATAAAATCCCAGGATATGTTGCTAGATATAATTAATTTTGAACATAAACTAAAATTCAATAATAGTGACATTAGGTGTGGTAAGTATTTGTATACCTATTTCTAGGCCTTAGCTTAGTCATCTATTCAACTTTATCTATTTTTTAAATTTATTTTAGTTTAAATAATTTATTCATTCATGTAGATTAATTGTTATTAATTTTTTTTTTCTTCAAAATATTTGGAGGGGAGGGATGTAATGATATTTTTGCCCCTTTCTATTTTTATTGCGGTGTCAATCGCCCCCCTCGCTGAAAAGATCTAATCAAAAAGATAATTTCTAGTTCCAGAATTGAGTTAAGATTATGCTGAATTAGTCAATTCTTTTAAAAATTACTTAAGATTAAAGAAATTTCAGTAGTGTAAAATGTCAAATCTTCATACCTAGTGAATGCGATTTTGAATCGCATGGACTTACAAATAATTTCTGGAATTTGTTATATGCCTGACCAAGTACTTACAAAAATATATTTTTAAAATATCATATGTACTTACCAGTATTAATAAAAAAATTATTTGATATTCGATATACCAAATGGCTTCTATATATATTTTTCAACAGGTTATTTGCTATCCAAAAATCACAAGTGCGCTGTTTCAGTTTTTTTTAAATGATGCTCTTTTTTGTAGAAATTAATACAATTATTATTCTCCAATAAATTGATTATTATTTCATAAAAAAATTGTCTTGATGCAATTCTAAAAGGGACAAAAATTAGCAACCCTTTTTAGCATTGCATTAAATTTAAAAAAATTAAATATCTATAAAAGCCATTTCAGAAATTAAATATGAACTTTGTTAATTTTTCTGTGCAAATTTACATGAAACAACAGTGGTGTTAGTAGTATTAATAAAGCATTAATTGACTCAAATCAACTTGAGGTTTCTTTTAGCAAAACAGTGTTGAAATTTTAAACTATAGATTACATTTACTTTTAAAGTTAACGAATTACATATCTATGGTATCAAATAATTTACTGTTTGCTTGATTTTAGTGTCTATATTTTCTATTTGTTATTATTGTATGTTCAATGACATAATAGTAGCTTTTTGAAGAAACAGCAATATTTTTCGGTAATAGTCTTACATCAAAATAAAATTTCTTTGTTAAAAAGAAAATCAGAGTAGATATGTTTATGGATAAGGATATAATTAATTAAATGCTTGATATATTTTTATAAAAGGAGAAATAAATCATGGAAGCAGATCAAATAATGTTGGGTTCCAGAGCAATCTATGGGGACTAAAGAAAGTCATGAAAATATAAAAATTAATTTTCAAATTAGTATTTTAACTATTTTATATTTTTTTTCATGAGTTTCATTTCATAGAAATATTTTATTCAGAAGTATATAATAATTTTTAAATTTAGATCAAACCAAATTTAAAAGATTACAACGAATACCTCTAATTGATAAAGGTATTTAGTTTGATTTAATGATTAGGAAAAAGATAAATTTTTGAAAATTTAATGTAAACATTGTTATTAAAAATAATTTATAAACTGATTTTCACGATTTATTAATTATAGCTTTAAAAAAATTATTTGAGTCAACTAACATCAATAAAATATTTAAATTCCAACACAAATAAATTAGTTTGGGACAAACCACATAATTGATTAGTGAGGATATAACATTATTTTATCCAAACAGTGCTATCAAAAGCTTGAGGAAATTTCGTAACAATGATTTCAGGGACATTGGGTCTCTTAAAAAAACTTCTCAGTTTTAATTCCAGCGAAGTGAAACATCATGCAGACATTATGGAGTGATGATTAGTTTAAAATTTCTAATAAAAAAGAAATGCATTTTGGGAGAAATGTTTTTGCTAACATTTTTCGTTAATCACAAATTTCCTATCAAAATAAATGACATGAAATCTCAGCTTATACAACTTAATTCAACCACAGCCAATCAAATTCATCTTTCTGTTCTGCTCAAGTATGTATTCCCTTTAGACATATTAACTATGAATATAAAAGAATTTTAATATTTATTTATATTTTCTCAATGTCTTGTAAGGCTGGCAGTGGTATATTTCCTAGATTTACATTACAAAATTAAAATGAAACGGAAAATACAAAAAATACATCTTAAAATATTAACAAACATGAATATCAAAAATGAGTATCATAGTTTATAAATAATGTCTTATAAAAATAAATTAAATATCATAATCTCATTATAAAATGTTATTTACAGTTTTCAGTGGAATTCAGAGTCTAGGTTATTTTTCTCTAGTCGATAGAAATAACATTAAAAAAAAGTATGAATTTTTCAATAAAATATAGAGAGCCCACCAATGGTTTAAGCAACAATGAACAAACACACAGAAAGCAATAAAACACAAATGTTAGAACAAACATTAAAATATTAGTTAATTTTATATATTATAATTATTAACTTGAGGCGCCTGCAGGAGTAGTGGCTGGTTGTTGCTGCTGTCCGAAATCTGAAAGAAAGCGAAATACATACATTATTATAAAAAATATTTTTACTTTTAACAATAAGTAATTTTATTTTAAACTTTTAATACCAGACATTTATTTTATATTTTTACTAATAGTAATTTTATTTTATACTTTTAATAATGTAGTATGGATTCAGGATATAATTATATTGAGAATGCTTATCATGGTCAATAAAATATACATTAAGTTTCTTTATTTATTTTTTCTACTCTAGACATACGTCAACTTCTACAAAATAATGAGAAAAAGGAATTAGTTCTAAATAGAGTCTAAATCAATTGAGTAAATCAAGTACTGTTTTCTTTTTTTTTTTTATCAAATCTGATCTGTGGCAATCCAGTCTTGGAGTTATATTTTAATTAAGTTGAACAAATCGGATTCTGCTAACACATTTTCTATGGAGTAGAATAGAAAAAAATCAGATAAAGAAATTTATCTGGGGAAAGACAACCTAGAAGAAAAATTTAGTCATAAAATAGGGTTAGAAAAAATAAATTCTAAAATGCGTTTTCTCATTACTTAGTCAGTAAACCAGGATTTAAAATATTTCAGGAATTTAAAAATTCTATTCTATTTTATAAAGATTTATCTGGATATGTACAAGTTTTTTTCCGAATTTTGAAGTTCCAGATAATTGTTGAAGGACTGAGAAATGAAAGGCTTTTATTAAAACTAAGTTTCATACTAAAATTATTTTAAACAATTAAGAAATTACAACTTCCAAACTGATTCTGTCTTATGTTACATATATAATATTGGGAGTATTCTTAAAACTAGTAGGCCCGTGCGAAAAATTCGCACAACATATTGTTATCAAATGCCAAATTAATAAGAAAATAAAATAATGCAACGCATCAAAAGGGAAAGACATCAAATGCTACTATATCGATAAATATAATCGACAAAGGAAACAAAAATTAATTTAAATCTTCATTTTTGTTTGGAATCAACATGTTTACAAACTTCAGTAAGCTGTATCTTTGCTAAAAATTGTTCGATTTTGATGAATTTTTTTTTCCTTTTGTAGGGAATATATTAATCTTTTATATAATCATGGGTATAACTAAGGGAAAAGTGTATAATTTTTTAGTTATTCGCAAATAAAGTTTGTTTTCTTTCATAACTTGTTTGCCTGAATTTCCTGGGTGATTGGACTATTTTGTCCTCCTGAAGGAGAAGGAAGCCTTCGAAATGGGTGGCTCAATCTTGAGATTTGGTGAAAAATTAACGATGATATGGCTTGCCGATCAAATACACCATCGATAAATAATATAAACTCCTCTCTCGATCATGGAGACCTCAAGTCAACGAAATGAGACATGTATTCAATGACAGTACGACAATTAATGTAAGGTTGTATGGATGCGAACCCTATGCCTTGCATTATCTCAAAAATGGTACGTTTTTGGGCTTAAAAACGCCGGATCCGATAGCTCCGGAGGAACTATCCGGGTCATGCTGTATGCATCAAAATCTTCAAGATCCAATTGTCCCATATCGATCTACAGACCTACCACCGTTCCAGTATTGAAGCCTAGCAAAATGTTTGTATCGACTTTATTTATTTTAGAAAGAAAATAGTCGCTAACCCCCCATAAAATCCTGAAACCAACGGTACCCCATGCATGGTATTTGAGCATGACAGGAGCTTATATTTGGTACAAAACTGATTTCGAGCCTTACTGTAATAATATATGTGGGGATAGCAAAATAGAAAAATCCAGATATTTTAAATTAAATGAAAATTCCAATACTTCATTTTAAAAACAAAAATCATTATTAATCACTGAAAATAGGCATATTTTATTTTGTGGATGAAAAAATATAATATTTTAATGCTATTGTTTGAATTACTTCTCTTAGATGGTTCCCATCCAATTTTTTCTCCTGTCTTCTCATTCTGTTCCTTTAACCAATCATGTAATGGCTGAAAGAATTGAAGGAGAGCAGTTCCATCCATTTTTCTTTGTCCAGTAAGAACTTCCATTGCGTCTGGCCAAGGTTTTGATGATCCTAATTTCAGCATATTCCTGAAAATGGTAAAAAATTAAAAGTGTAATACGTTAAAAGTAACAATTAAAGATATGGTAGAGTTATTTTGTAAAAATAAAAACATCAAGGTTACCCAACTATAAGTCGACTTAAATGGCTAATGGTTTAAGTATTTTAGTCAACTTTATTTATTAAGAAAGCCATGAGCAGTTTGTTATACTTAAGAGAATCATAAGAAAATCTAGTTCCAAAACTTAAATTACTTTAGTAGTGTTATTTAAATATTTTGAATTATATGATTATGAGGTCTTGCCAAATAAAAACTAGAATATAAATTATAGTTTATATATTATAATTATCTATATCATAACCTATGAAAAATGTCAAAATTACCCTAAAAGGTTTCCTGCTTTAGCACTTTGGTAAATACTACATTCATGAAGAGGTTTTGAGGATGGATTATTAGGATCAAATTCACCAGCCTCTATGCACAGAGACCGATGAAACTGAAATTGTATAATGAAACTGACAAAGTATCTGAAAAAAAAAGAAAACAATTATTAATCAATCAATGAACTGAAATAATTATTAAAAATTTAATGTATAATAAAATAATATCTCCATATAACTATAGGTAAAAAAATAATAATTCTACTTCACCTTAGAAAAGATTAAAATAGGTTAAGGTTTATACAAATTTCTTAATGTGAAGATTAATGCAAGGTATATGTGTATGAAGGTATGCAAGGTATGAACATTGACTTTCTGTGATAATTTGCTCGGTTCCCTTTTAAAATGACTATATAATTTAATTATATCATTCAAAAATCTAATACATAAAAAAAATAAATAAAAAATTAAAACTTTACCACTACGACCCATGAAAGGTTTTGGATTCAGAACTTTGTAAGCAAATACTGCTTCTTGGTCAACATTAGTGCAAGGAGATGACGACCAAGATCACACTCCACTTCCAGTTTTTCCCCTCTTAATTAATTATTTAATTAAGGATATCAATTTTATAGAGACTGAGTGTGCCTAATGAGGATCTCTCGACCCCAGGGTTGATCCACAGCTAACAACACAGATTAAAGAACTTATCTGCCATCAGCCGGATTCAAACCTGGAACCTTGAGCACTGGAAGTCAGTACCTTACCAATGAGCTATCACACTCCAATAGTAATCATAAAAAACATCACAAATTCCATTGTGGCTACAAACATATAATTAAACAAACTACAAAATAATTCGTAGTTGGCATCCTAGGCAAAAGTACTAACTTCAAATCATTTTGTAGGACGTCAGTTTTCTTTGTTAAACAGATTTTAAATATCATCTGATCTGAGTGTATGATCTTTTACATCACAACTCAGATCTATTGATCCAGTGTAGGACTTTATAGATGCTATAATTAGTTTTGAGGTGATATATTAAATAGTTTTAACCAATATCGTTTATTTTCAAGATAATTGTGACATCTGCTTATTTTTCTTCTATATTAGGCTGTAAACTTTTATAAAAGGTATCATATTTTATAATGATAGGAAAATCAAAATATTATCAAACAATAACAAAAGAAATTGTACTTAACCTGACATAAGGAACACTTGCGACAATATGGTATTTTGCAGCTGGATCAAAGTCTTGCTCAGTTCTGTCAACTGGTGGTTCAACTCCCTGATATTTTTCTCTGTAATGACAATTATGAAATTATTTTTTTTAATTTTAACATTAAATATATATTTTTTTTTTAAATATGAACAATATCTACACTTATGAAAAATATTTAATAATAACTATTTAGTAGTTTATTCAAAACACAAGAAATAAACAACAATTGTTATAGCTCATTTTAAAAACTTAATTAAATATAATTTATCGAACCAAATTTATACTGCTTGATATTCAAAATTTAAAACAGATAGTTTGTTAATCATTCAAATATAATCAACAGACAGATTATAAATAATACATTTATGAAGTAATCATAAAGTTACCTTAGTAACCACCAATCTCTATTATACGTGGCTGGAAGGGTTTTTCCTTTGAAAATATTCCAACGATAAAGATCCATGAGAAGACCAAAAGGAAGGAATGATACTTTATCCAATGCTCTTTGGAAAAGAGAATTTAGTTCTTGCTTGTCATCCTTTAATAAGAAATGAAACAATATTAAAATTTAAATATAATTAAATAAAGATATAGAGATGGTTGACCGTTGATATACTATGAGAAGGAGTTAATCGGGGGTAATTATAGTAATTAAATATTAAATATTATTATATTGAAATATTATAATATTAAATATTAAATAATTACTATATTTTAATTTAGTATTTATTTGACTGCACCTCCCGATTAACTCCTTCTCATAATTAAATAAAGGTTATTATTATAATTGTTTACCTGATTTAAGGACTAATCAATTTATAACTAAAATATTAAACATTATACAAATCATAAGGTAAGGTCATGAAATCCAATAAATATTGATAAAAATGTACCTACTAAATTATAAATTTTTGCTGGTCCATAGAGAAAAAATTAGGCTGGGTTAGCAAATCTTGGAATGAGGCAAGGAGGATTGTTCCTGACAGAGACAAATGGAAAGAACTAGTGGATGCTCTATACTTCAGTGGAAGTCAAAGGAATTAGTAATAATAAAAATGAAATTATAAATTTTAATATTCTTTCTATATAAATAAATTAATGACTGAGGAGGCCAAAACCTTAGTTTGTGGTAAGAAATTGTCTTTGGAAGATAATGGCTGAACTATTAGGTCCTGGGAAATTAGTGTTTGATGAAGGCATGTAAACGATCCCATGATGGCAAGTCCTGATACATGGAAAAGGACTCTCCAATTGCTGTTTAACTTCATCGTGGTGAAAGTTATAATAAAATCACATGAAAATAGAGGAGTGTTGGAATGAATTATAAATAAAATTCTAGGATATGTGGATGATATCTCTGTCTTCAGAAGCAGTTAAAGGGACATTGAGAGATTCGCTTCAAGAATTCAGTCTACAATTAAATGACGATAAAACAAAATATGTGACGGTAAGCTAAAAAATCAACATAATAACAGGATCTACATGGATCAAAAATTGTTTTCAAGAGTAGACATATTCTATAACCTCAGCTCTTTAATCCCCAATAAACGAACAACTATTACAAATAGACCTGCATATGACTAGCACAGTCAGAGCTTTCTTCTCTCTTTCAAAGCTGCTGAAATCCCCAGAAATCTCATATCAAGAGGGTATAATGCTATGGATTAAGCCAGTTCTGATATAGAGCTGTGACTACTGGACATTAACTAGCCAGAGAGTTTTCTGCAGGATAACAGGAGTATCTGGGATCAGAGTGCTAATGATAGGAGAAGGTATACAGTATCAATATTCGTTTTTAAATTTCATTTTTCATGGTGATTACCAGTTGATGTCAATCAAACTTTACTTACATTCGAATTTTGTCCTTTAAGCAATCCTAGTCTCTGAAGATGTTTTGTTGTGGCAGCAGACAAAAATATTACATCTCCTACTGCTTCATGAAAACCTAGAAAGAGAAGTAAGTAATTCATTTTTCTATGTAAAATCAAATTTTGATAACTGTAAAATAATGAAAATAATGAAATCATAAATCTTTTATTTATTTGCAAACCTTTATGATGCATCTTAAAAACCTGAGAAAGAGAAAAAGAATCCGTTCCAACAGTATAAAGAGTAAAATTTTTTTTTTTTAACTTTTATTATGATATTTACAACTGTATTAGTATGAATACATCAAGTAAATGTGTACAGAGAAATATTATCACATGAAACACGCTTGTTGAGAAACTACCCACTGGTAGCACTCTAATAATTTGTCTACATGAGAAGATCACGAGGCCATCTTCTTTTCAGACACCTCGGAGGGTTATCAAGAATCGAAGAGGAAGCAAGGTTAGAAACAAGAGGATTCGGATGGTTATGAAGTTTATTATGGAAGGAAAGGTATCTGGATTTGGCCAAATCGGAAACATATGTAACATTGAGGTCTTTATGGATTATTTTATTAGTGACAAAGTAAGGAGCATTGAGGATTTTATGAAGGATTTTGGATTGTAAGGATTGGATGCGAGAGGAATTTGATGGTTTAGTGGAGCCCCATAGCTCAACTCCGTAAGTCCAAATAGGTCTTATTATAGTCAAGTAAATGAGTCTTTTGTAATTAATAGGAAGTTTAGAGCGTTTGTCTAGTAAGTGTTGGAGTAGTCGGAAACGCCGAGCGGTTTCTTGTCATTTCAGTCTGGTATGAGGATTCCAAGTTAGACGTTTGTCCAAGTGAAGTCCAAGGTATCGGATTTGTTCAACAAGGATAAGTGGGGTATTATTAAAGGATACTGTGGGACATGAGGTCATAGGTTTACGTCAAAGGGTAAAGGTGATTTGATGGGATTTATTAGGATTTATTTTAATCCTCCAGTTTTGACACCATTCTTCAAGACTTGTGATGTGTGATTGAAGAGTTTGGGATTCAATGGTTGGGTCATTATTAACGGATAGGACACATGTATCATCGGCATACATGGTAATAACATTGTTGGGATGTCAGCTGTATAAACTGTGTAAAGGATAGGACCAAGGATAGGACCTTGAGGAACTCCGGCAGATTGAGAAAAGAGGGATGAATAGGTATTATTGTGATTTACTTTGAAGTGCCTATCAGTAAGATAGGAACTGATGATAAGAAAATATGTAGGGGGAAGGAATTGACGGAGTTTGTAAAGCAATCCCGGATGCCAGACTCGATCAAACGCCTGTTTAACGTCGAGAAAAACTCCAGTGCAATACATTCCGCGTTCCAAGGCAGAGGAGACGACGTCTACCACACGATGACATTGCTGGATAGTGGAATGGGATGGGCGGAATCCAAATTGGTGATCAGGGATTATGTGGTTAGAATCTAGGATGGGATACAGGCGTTTTAAGATGAGCTTCTCCAGGATTTTGCCCATGATGGGTAAAAGAGAGATAGGACGGTAAGAGGATGGGTATTCTGGTGGCTTTTTGAGTAAAAATTAAAATTATTAATTTAAGAAAAATCCCATATAGGAATATTTATCATAGTAAGAAATAACTCATGTTACTAAATTAGTAGTCTTTTTTTATAGGTTTGGACATCTTACTCATGAAACATATTTTTAAGAAATAGAACAAAGGCTCCAAGAGTTAATAACTTGGATGTTAAACTTGTGTGCTGAATTTATTATTTAAATCACAATAAGGAAATGTGAAAACATTTGATCTTACATTACAATTATATTATCTTAAATTAGGATTTAAATTTTCAACCCCATTAAAGAGAACAAAAAGCAAAAAGTGTCCACCATTTCTCTTCAAAAAATAAATCACCAAAAGTTGTTATTTGAATATAATTTATATGCAATATATAAATACTAATAATAGTGTTTATAGAAAATAATATTTTTTTAGAAATATAAATTAGAAGATGTATTTACCAGAGTTAGCTCCTTCTTTATAAAGATAAGGTTGATCTTTGTATTGTAGAAAATATTGGATATGTCCCATTTCATGATGAATTGTGAGTAAATCTTCCATTTCCACTCTAGTACACATTTTTATCCTGCAATTGGAAATATAATGATTAATCAGATTTAAATTTAAAAAAAAGAAGGGACTTTATAATGGTTGGTCATCACTTCATGGTGCGTGGATAGGTCTCAGTGAAAAAAAAAGTTTTGGGACCTGGTCATTAAGCACTAGTCAGACAGTGAGGACGGATCCTAGGAGTAGAGAAAACAAGAGTCCGCTTCAAAACAACAACCCTGACCTGTGGATAAAGTTCTCGGCAGGTAATCCAAGACCGCTCCGGCATTTTTCGTATTAAGAAAATAATTTACTTAAATATGATTAATACAATGTTTTGAGCCCCATTGCCTCATTATAAAAAAAAAAATTGATCAAATAAATATTATTTCATAAACTATTACCTGAAATCTTCACCATTGTAAAAATCCCAAGCTGAAGCATGACATACAAGTTCTTTTCCCTCAGGTTTCTCTATAATTGATCTTTCCCAAAATAATGGTGGCATTGCACTTAAATTCAAGGAAGTAAAGAAATTCTCTGCGACTTTGAACATTTTAAGTGCTGTATAATTCTAAAATAAATTTTTAAAAATTTATCAATATGATATAAGTTATTGTATTTACAAAACAACAAAGATAGCCGGATAAATTATTTTGAATGGAATTTATTATTCACATTTTACAAATAATAAATTTATCAAATCATTTATTTTTATTTCATCCTTAAAACAATTAATGACATTTATTTATTATGATCATAGTGAATGTAATAAACAAATATTTAATTCAACAAATATCAGTTCAGTAATTTTAAAATTTTTGTTTTAAAAAAATGCAATGGACTATGTAATGACAAATATAAATTAAAAACTGATTACCTGTTTAATCAATTCATCTGTCACATCCAAGGATTCCAGACCAGGATAAGGGGCTGTGAAGTCAAATAAATTTGACCAAGTCTGCGCCCACATATTGCCTGAATTTATTGAAAAAACACTTATTTTAAGATGAATTTAAGAAAAATCCTTCTTTTGACAAGAATGGCAAGAAATTAATTAATATTGGGAGTTCTAATTATATTTTAGTATCAATCAGTAGCCATTACAAAGGGACTACAAAAATAAATAAATAAATATATAAAAGGAATGCATAAATGGTTATTCATTAACCCTTGTAACCAAATAACAACAAACATTAAGATAGAATAGTAAACAACTCCAAAAGAGACAAAAATCAATTGTTAAGATTAGTATGTATTGTGGATTCATTGATAATATCGTTGGTACAAATGCTAATTCTAGTGATTATATTTGTAATAATTATAACTGTAAACAATTGTAATTAAATATTTTTAAACAGTGAATACAAAATCTTCAAACATTCATAAAAGCACATATTTTTTTTATTTTATTGATGATATTTACAACTGTATTACAAGTAAAAATACATTCAGTAAATGTGAACAAAAGAAGATAATAACATGAAATCACTTGTTGAGAAACTACCCACTGGTAGCACTCTAAAAATGTATTTACAAGAGGAGATCCCTAGGCCATCTTCTTTTCAGACGCCTCAGAGGGTTGTCAGGGATGGAAAAGGAAGCAAGGTTAGAAACGAGAGGGTTAGGATGGTTCTGTTATGGAAGGATAGGTATCTGGATTGGGCCAGGTCAGAAACATAAGGAACATTAAGGTCGTTATGGATGATTTTGTTTGTGACAAAGTAAAGAGCTGTGAGGATTTATGAAGGATTTTGGATTGTAAGGATTGGATACGAGAGGAATTCGATGGCTTAGTGGAGCCCCAGAGATCAACTCCGTAAGTCCAAATAGGTCTTATTGTAGTCATGTATATGAGTGTTTTGTAATTGACTGGGAGCTTAGAGCGTTTGTCAAAAGCACATATAAGTGTGGAAATTAAAATAACCTAGTTGTTTAGGCTGAATTGATAATGATATTAGAGTGGTGATTTTCAGATTCGATAGCTAGCATTTGTATTGATGATATTAATAAAGATAGATAACACACTTTAGAATACCTTATTTTCTTCAATAATAAAGAAAATGCTTAACAGTGAACTATTAAACCAATAACATGTTTTTATGTATAAAAAACACATAGGACACTAATAGGATTTGGACCAAAAAAATCATTATCAAATTATATATAAATTTTCCACTATAGGAATAGTATACTAAAAATAATCTTACCCATTAGGTGAGCAGGAATTGGTCCTGTTCTTGAAAGAACATTCTCACCATATTTGTCCCATAGTTTCTTCCTCATGTAAGCATGCATTTGAAGGTATAAAGGTTTAACCTGAAAAACATTTTGAATAAATTAATAGAATCATAATTGTGAAATTTTATAATTCATTCTTGTTAAAAAAATAAGTAATAAATAACTATTCTTGAATTGGCTTATATTTATATTTCAGCATTATATAAATAAAATTAAATTTAATAATATCAGAAAATGGATACATTTTAAAATTTTATGTGTGCAATTAGGACTAATAAGTTATTGTACCTGAGACCACAATTCTAATATATCTTTTTCAAAAGCATCCGATTCAAAATCAAAATTCCACAGTTCAGCAAGGTCAGTCATATCTGAAAAATATTAAGCATCATCAAACACAATAATCATAACAATAGAAACTTGAAAAATGAAAATAAAAATTATTGATTTCATTAATATCGGACATCATTAATAATGAGGCAGTTTTAAATCATCTATATCTAATTAGATAATAATTATCACATGTGAACATGTTTGTGCTATTTGGTTTGTATATAAGAAGTTAAATTGATTTTCAAAAGGTAAAGAACAAAAAAAAAAATGTATGTTTATAAATTTGTTGAGATTTTTCTCTTAATAACACAATAAAATTTATAATTTAATAAATATAATAAATAAACTAATTTAAGCAGTTATTTGAAGAATTATTTTTTGGGCGAACAAAATTTACAAAGTTATAAGAAATTTAATGTATTAATGTCGCTTAAAAACTTGAATGTCTTAGTTGCTTGTTCTGCATTGTCGCCTAGTGGTTCTGTTCTTGTTCTGGTTTCAGTTTACAATGTACATGAAGTTACAACATGATTAAGTGTTACTGTTGTATTGCATGTGTCAGAAAGTTGGTTTCAGATTCACCTATCATCAGATTCTTTTTTAGGATCGGATGATTTATCCATAAAACCAAATAGAATAAAGGCACCAATTATTGACTCTTGTAATTTAAAGTTTAAAAAATAAGCATGTAGGTTTATGTAGGATTTCAAATTACATTAACATTAATCACCCACCGATTCCCTCCAAGATTAAGTCTCTATTGAGTTATGAATTAAGTGGGAACTGCATAATTCCCATCATTTCAAATCAGTCGCCAGGACCTTTAGGATTTTGCTAAGAAAGTGTGGCAATATGTTATCTATTTTATCTCATCCTAATGCTTATGAGCTTCAATTCTTTTGACAAATTTTGTTACCACTTCATGATCATGTGATATCATTTTCAAATGTGAATTTCGATTAAAACAACACAGGTATTATGGGTCAATAATTGGATCTTCGAAATTATAAGTTTCCCCAATTATTGACACAAAGTGTATTATATGAACAGAAAGATAAACATGAACAAAAGACCAAGAAACAAGAACATGAGCAGAAGGATATGAATAGGAAAACATTGAAGAAGGTCAGGAACAAAAAAAGATGGAAGAAGTCGAAATTTGGTCCCAAATGGACACAGATCGGACAATAAATAAGATTAACTTATGTCGAAGAGCAGGCCATAATTATCAAATTGCCAAATCCTCTAGTGTTTGGGAATAAAAAAAAACAAAGAGCTCTATTTTCTTATTCTTTAAATATTGATTGAAATATACCAAAGTAAATCTACCTACTGTTGTAGATAATTTCCTTTTTCATACCGTTTTGTGATGTCTAGGTATGGGTAAAAAGTTTTAAAGTGTGCAGATACTGATGTGTAATAATTTTTTACCTATATATAAAAAATAATTTGTTGAAAATAAACTAGTTTGATCCTTGAATATGGTGTCAATAACTGATTCCTTGTTCTGATTTTTGAATCTGAATTGATTTTTGCAAATCAATAATTGGTGAAATCTTGTCATTGGTTTGGGGCTCAAAAAATTGAAAACTTTATAGTATTTTGGCCATTATATAAGCGGAATCTGTAAAACAGACTTGGACTAGTATGAAAAACTTTAAAACATACAAATAGGTTAATTAATAAAAAGGTTATTGGTAAATTACTTGAAACAATTCATCAAAGTTTCAATAATAGGTGACTTTACCCAATCTATATAAATATATATCCAAATTTTCAAAAACGTTAATCATTATTGCAAAGTTTTCTAGGTTCTAAAAATTTCAATAGAAGTTTTTAGTTAGTATTTAAAAGTTCAGTCACAGGGATATTCCTTTGTCTATAAATAAATGTTACAATTTAATAGAAATGCTTACTATTGAGTTTAGCTCCTTCATTTGAAATTTGAACGTATTCCTCAAACAATTTTTTACATTTTCCTCCTGATGCCTTATGCCACTCAACCCAAATATGTTTCAATTCTTCTGGATCACGACTCTTTCTCAAAATTTCAGTGATCTCTGTAAAATAGATTTTTAAAAATTGATTAAATTAATATAATTAGTAAATCACATATTTGATTAGTTTATTAGTTTATAATTTGATTTAACTTTTATATTAATGCATGAAAAAATTTAATACACTCATATTTTAATTAATAAAGCCAAGGTCACACACATCCCATGATGTATACGGAACTTAATTATTGTAGTATTTCAATGTATACTAATGAAGTTCAGAACTTTATAAAAGCAGTAACAGTCTCTAGTATTTATAAAAGGTTGAAAATGATAAACCTATTCAGCGAAAAACGAAACAAAAGATATTTAATAAATAAACTTGAAATAATTAAATGAACACTACATTAATATTCAATATTTTCCTTAGGTTTATTGTAATTTTTAATTTTAAAACAATTGATGGTATTATATCAAATAAAACCAAATATATTTAGGATTATGAAATTGGTGTATGACTCATTTCAAGGAAGAGACAAGAGCTAATAAACAAACTGCTTTTCTGTAACGAAAGTTTTCATAAAGAATGATAGGATAGTGTAGTTAGATATAATTATTTAAACTTTTTCATTTGACTAGTAGCTCTCACTAAACTAAATGATCCTTTTTTAAAAAATAATCCATTAGGAAATTGCACTTACTCAGGGGTTTTCAGGCATCTAACCCATACATCCATAGTTCATAGGCAGCGACAATTCACCACAGTACAGTTAGAACAGCTTAATATTTATATAATTTGAAATATAAGTTATTGGCATTACTATCTGTTAATATTAGCCCTAATGCATATAAAATTATATAAAACTAATATAATAAAAATTATATAAAACTAAACTAATATTTTTTAATATGAAATATACCCTAAGATTCCCAACAAGCCAAAGGTTCAAGCTATTATTACCTGGTTCAAGGCTCAAATTACAATTGCTTTTGTTGTGGAAATCACATATCTTTGCTGTACTATAAATGCTTTCCATCTTAGAAGTTACTTCATCAAGCTGAAATTAATAGGAATAATTATTTAAGCAAAACATAATATTCAAAGATACAAGTATATGATTTTCTTTTTTATCAAACATATTAATTGAAATTACCCTTTTAAATTTATCTTCAGGTAATGCTGCCATTCCAAGAATAGTAGCAAATTTAAATTGTCTTTTTATATTTTCATCTTTATAAGTTTTCCAAGGATATTTAATAGTTTCTACCCATTTATTCTTTTTCCATTTCGCAATTTCGGCAGAAACATTCAACTGAAATTAGTGAATTTAATAAGTATTAAAAACAGAACATACATAATTATATTCTAGGTTTATTTATTGAACTGGTTGTTTCAGAAACGATACATGTGCAATTTTTGCCAGTTATAAGTTGAGAGCCATTCTCAGTACATTATTCACAGATGCATCTTTTAATATGAAAAAATTTATATTTTCTATGCCATATTTTATATATTTTTTTCTTGTTTGTAGATTTTCATCATGAAAAATTTAATATAATATTATTATTGTTGTTTTTAAAATTGTGAAAATGTCATATGTATTGTTTCTGAAATAACCATTTCAGCTATTCAATAAAAAAAAATTATAATTAACAAAACTTAACTAGACTTAATGCAATTGAAATATCTTTCTGTTCAAGATTGAAACAAGGCTCTAAAGTTTCCAATAGCCACTTCAATCCATAGATCTTATAGCTGAATGATTTATTTCATTATTAATTTAAAACTATACATCACCTTAAGTTCTTTAGTTATATGTAGAAATTAAATAAAACAATATTCAGAAAAAAAATCATAAAATATTAACATAATTGACCCTTTCTCTAACAATTAGATAACTTGAGATAATAAATTAATTTGTGGTTGATAGTTATCACCTTTTCTTAGTAAGCAATAAGTCTCTCAAATGCCATTAAATAACTAGTCATGAATGTTTGGTCTTCAGGATAGGAAAACATAACATATATTCAGACCAGAAATAGCACATCTCTCACCAACAGCCTAAATATGCTTTTTTTAGACTGTTGATTATATGAAACCAAATCAAAATTTGAGTTTAAAACTTTATTTTACATAAATAAGAAAATTTATGTTTAAAAATTAAAAAAATATCTCATTACTTTATTCCAATATTAAGATTTCTGTTTTGATCAAATCCGTAGTGTCAATCAAATTTATTTATTGATGATTACAAATTTATTATTAATTTTTTTTTAATAAAATGTAAATTATTAATTGAACTATAATTACTTAAATATAATGTTCATGAAAATATTAGAAGATATAAATGTTCTGTATAGCTAATAGGGGAAAAAAATTTAAGACAAATGATAAATCTGCTTTCTTACAAATCCATTGTTTAAAAGTTCTTAGTATCATCATCGTAATTGTAAGTTACCTTCTTTTCTAATGTTTCTGGAGTGATATTTGATCCATAATCCCATTCTGCATTTGTTGCAAGGTTTGCTTTTTCTCCAAATTCTTTATTTAGTTTTTTAAGGTATTCTGCCGCAGCTTGTTCTGATAGATCATTCGAAGAAGCAGCACTTACTTCGGCCCCTGCAGCAATTCCGAATTCATTTATGAAAGCCGCTGTAGTAAAAAGCAGCAGCTTCAACATTTTTCTGAAAATAGAAAGTTTTGTAATATTTGTTAAAAAATAGCAGGCTTTAGTTATAAAAATTGAAAAATTTGCCATTATAAAAGAAATTCTGGTTGCTTGCAAGCTTCCATACTCATCTATCTCTCACTATGATCAGCAATTTTAATTTATTACGTTTTAATTTAATGCATTATAAAACATTATATTAATATTATGTTGCTGTCAAAATGGTTGGGGAAAAAATCTCAATAGATGTTGATATATTTTATTTAACATTATAATTTGTTCACATAAAATTTGACTAGTGAAAATATTTTAATAGATTAAGTGAGAATCTATAGAAATAAAAACGTAAATGTTGGTTTGTTCAAAACCACTAATCTCCCATACTTCTTCACATATTGGTTTGAAATTTTTACATGATGTTTATATCGGATTCAAGAATGTTTTTATATACATTTAAATACCTTCTGGCCTTTCATTTGGAAATGCGGCCGAGAATATGTGTCATTATAGACTGCCTAAACGGCTGTCATGATTTTAATTAAACTTGGATAAAGTCTTTTCCTTGAAGCCCTTTTACTATATATATGTAATATCCTTCCCTGTAATGAGTATGAAAAAAAAAGTTACGATGGATTCAAAACTATATTTGCGAATAACTCACAAAGTACACAATTTTTGATGGATTATACCCTTGATTATTTGAAAGCTTCCTGAATTCTCTGCAAAACAATAAAAAAAAGAAACATCGAAATCAAAAAGAATTATCTCCAAAATTATTTATACCGGCTAAAGCAGCTAAGTGGGTTCAAATTTTTTTTAAGGAGAAACAAAGTTGTGATTCTTATTTCACATCTCCATAAAAATCCATAATATGAATTTTAAGATTCCATAATATGAAGAATTAAGGCGGAGCCTGCAAATCTTTTTGTGTTTAGAGTTTTTCATGATTTATTCCTTATGAGGGGGCGTTTTTTATGAGTTATAAACGTTTTTTATGTGATCATTAATGGGATAACTCAGTTTTGAAATGGTCATAGAAACTTCGAATTAGGTGAAAATCATGAGGAGTCATGAGTTATTTAGTGAAACGTAGAGTGAATTTAGTGATCATTAAAATTGGACGATTTGGTGCAGAGATATAATGTTTTAAACATTTAGTACTTTTTCCTTCGGTGATTTAGAGACCGATTGCTTCTCATGTAGACAATTAAATTTTGCTTATTCTAGAATTGAAAAAAACAAAAAAACAGACAATCTCTGTATCTACAAATAATGGAACAACAAAAAATATCACATATCCACAAGTATTGTGAAATAAAATATATTAGAAACATCTGCTTTCTTTTTTTATTCAACCAGAGGCACATCAACGTGTAGCCGGGTACAGCTAAAATAACATAAACAGGTCCTCTTTCACAAAATCTTATTTTTCGAAGGGTCTCTTAAAGTGAGAAGTTTTACTGATTTGTATTTCTCTAGTCATCACATATTATTGCTATTTATTTGGTGAGGGCGATTAATAAAAAACTATAATATATAAGCCGGCAAATGAAAAATAAAAATGAACAGTTTTTTTAACTTAATTTATCTATTGACCACAAAGAGTAAATATGATTGAATTGTACCATGCTCTGGAAATTTTTTCTGCAAAGAGTTTTCTTCATGACCTTAATTAGTTGTTTACTCTCAAAGTATATTAAGCACAATTTTAAGATGAAGATGACTATCAAGAAGAGCACAATAAATGTACAAATGAATTTTTTTTTTGTTGGCCTTCTGGACTCTAAAATATAATAATAAAATAAGGTGAAATGTATAATTTAAAGGAGCAAAATTTTAAATAGACAAATTAATTGAAAAATAAAGTTTAAGTATTTTTGGTTTGGAAGTTTAGGAGATAAAACAAAATCATAGAAAACAAGGAATAAATTATTAAAAACGTCCATTATAGGCTATTTTTGAAACTCATCTGTAGCCCTGTAAGTTTTTTTGCATTAATGTGTGGAGGTTCGTTGTTTTGTTTTTTCTTTATTCTTTTTTCCACATGCCATCTATTTATAGTCTCTTTAATACTTGTGGGAGCACAGAAGAAAAAAGTAACATTTTAAGAGCTACAGCATGATATGGTTAGGTAACATGGACTTTTTGAGCTAACTGGAAGCTAGAAAGCTGACCAAGATAGGTCCAGGTGTAATTACTATGAAAATGTCCAGGAAAGAAATCAGTGCATCACCATAGTGGTGGATTACACTAAGTACTTAAACTAAATAAGTACACTAAGCAATTGCTTGAAAATAAGCCTGTAACAGCAATTCTTATTTATGTTGACCAGAAATATGAATGAAAATTAACTGAACTAGCGTAATTTAAATCAACCAAACCAAATGAGTTTTTCAAAAAATATTATCTACTGTAGCAGATGTATGTATCGATTATTAGCAGATTTTGATACAGAAATAGTGTAAATTTCGATGTATTGAAACAACTTGACAAGTGACAGAAACCTAACTAAATATAAAAAAGTTTTTTTTAACCTTTTTCTTATTGCAAAAGTCAATCAAATATCGATGTCGTTTATTTAAAAGTGCTCAAGCGCAATAAGATGAAAATTACTCTCAATTTGTTATTGTACATAAACTTTTAAATAAATATTTTAAATATAGAAAGTAATATTCCATTGCTCATTGTGTCCAATTACTCAATTAAGTATACAATGACCCTTATATTAAAACAATGAAAAAAAAAGAAAATTGAAAATTCGTTGAGAAGCATTTCACAACTTCCATTTGCATTCAATAACAAATACATTTTTTTTTAAAAGTTATAACTCTAAAAAATACTTCTTTAATTATACAGTCACGGTCATAGAAAAAATTGCATCACCTATTTCTTTTGATTCTTACACTGACAACTTTGATCCCACTGAATGTTTTTGTTTTTGTTTAATTATTAAGGTTTCAAGAAAACTTTAACAATGTTTCTCAGTTCAGTTTTAACTAATGCCGTGGTAAAAGCTATAATTATAATCTGTATCTAAAACTATCCTCGTCAAAAAATAAAACGTTAAGTGAACTAAAAGGATTTTCAGGGAAAATAGTAACGTAGATAGGGTACATCCAATCAATGGTAGTCCAGTAAAAGAAAAGGCAGTTGAAAAAAACAAATAAACAATTTGACCGCTTAATGGTACTCGGAGATCTTGAGGTAGCAATCATATAAAGAAAATAAAATTTAAGAAATGTTTACAGTGTGATGCAACTTCTAGGACTGCGATTTTATACACAAATTTACTACAAATAATATAAATTATTTTGATTCTGCGCATTACATATTTTTAGTTTGTTAAAAAATAAATTTACAGGTTTCCATTTATTTTACAGAAAAGTTCCATTTAGTTTCTATGAAAACGTTTACTTCCCATTCAATACTATCTAAGTACCCATAATTAACTTCAACAATTAAAAGTCATTAACCTTTTCTCACTCTCAGCCTTCATCACACCACCTTCTACAAGCTTTTATGTCAGATATTAATTTTTCTAAAATCTTTCGCTTTCCAGTGGTTTATTATACGTCTTCTGCCAAGCCATATTGTAATCTTTGGATCACCTTTCATCAGATCATAGTTTTATTACATTCTTAAATCGCTCCTAAACCCTCCCCTCCAATTGCTTACAGTTAATGGTCCCATAAGTCGCTGATTTGGCCCGATCCAGATACCTATCCTTTCATGATAAATTCGAGATTCGTCCAAACCCATTAGTTTCCAACCTAGTTTCCTTCTCGATTCCTGATAATTCTCTGAAGGTCTGAAAAGAATTTGACCTCGGGATCTTTTTAATTAAAATTGTTTAGGGAGTGCTACCATTGGGTAGTATCTATAAATTCTTGTACTGTCCACATTCACTGGTTGTATTTTATTTAATAGAATTGTAAATTATTATAAATAAATAAAACTACAAACTAATAATTAGAGACGAATAGTAAAGGAATTTTAATGGCGAAAATCAGGAAGAAACAAGGATATATAAAAAACATCTGATTTTTATACAAACAAGTTTTAAACTGGAAATTCAAGAGGGAGGAGATCAGTGGGGTTTTGACCCCGGGTTTTTTTTTTTGTTTCCTTTTGCTGGAACGATAAATAAGATCTCTCTCCTCCTCTCGCTCCAAACCTGTTACAACCGTAGCGAGGTTGTTATGACGAGCGAAACATTTACTGCTGCCAAAATATATTATGAAAAAAAAAAAAAACAGAATCGAAGGGCAATGACTTCTTAAGCTGAAGTCCAGGACGAGCTTGACAAGTTGGTTGCTCGTTATTATTGTGATTATTTGCATACAGTATTTTTAAGGGAAAAAATATTTAATCTTAAAACATTTTATTTCTGCAATAAATTATAAATAGTAATAATCAAGTAAGTTACAAATTCAATTAGGTACTAAAAACTCGTACGTACCCATTTGCTTTCCACTATGATGTTCAGATAATTTGATCACAAAATCGAGAAAAAAAGTGGCCTAAAAAAACATTGGACTGTTTGGCTTGTACAACCTCGTTATTTTCACATTTTGGAGGTTTAGTTCACGCCAAACTGCTCAATATTTTCGAAGGCCACGTTTTTTCTCGAATTTGTATTAAAATTATCTTTGTGGAAAGAAAATGAGTATTTATGAGTTTTTAATACCCAATTAAATAGATAAAGTTTTACGAACTCCAGATTGAAAACGCTCCAATTCCCAGAACTTGCGTAAATAAAATAGTTATAGGTTACGATGAGATGAAGCGATTTACGAAGTTTCTGGACTACTATTTTCTGTATGGATTATTTTCAAAATAAATAAGTAACAATGATGTCTTTAACAGTAGTCGGTCGCGCCAAAATTTAATGTAAAAAATTAAACTTCTAGCAACTTAAATGGCTTCTAACACCATCAAAAACACCGATTATAAGGAATATTCATGAGTTTTTGTTTTGATATTTTCAATTTGTACAATATATTCACGTTTGCGCAG